TTTAATAATAATAATAAGTAAAATGATAGAAAATATTTTAGCATCAAAATGTCAAACACATTGTGATTAAGACCAGTAAATAAAACTATGAATCTATGATATAACGCTATTTTTGTATTCAATCGTTATATTATATGTATACTAAATCATTTTTATAATGTAAAATGAGTTTATTAATTCATAATCTAAAACTAATACATAATACGTTAGTTTATAAAAAATAATTAATAAAAAATTCCTGTATTTATCAAGTTGTACTAAAATTAAATACAGTATTATTAAACTATAATCAATATGATAATACTGTATATAATTCATCTTTAAGTGCAAAATAACATTGATTAAGCATTAAAGCAGATTTGTTGTCATCAAAAAAGCAAATACAATAACTTATGATATGAAAACCTTAAAACATTATTAATGAAAATATTATACAAAATATTTATAACAAATACACTAATATCTACACATTCCTAACAAATTAAGTAAACCGTGCATTATATGTATTTGTAAATTATGTATGCTATCTATCAAAAGTCAGATATTATGGTATAATTTTAATGGACTTTTTACACCATATTATCGATGGCATTACATAAATAGCCGCCAGAGATGTTACAAACATACACTTTGGGGTTTTGACTATAATTTTATTATTAATACAACGCTAAATATTTAGTGTATACTATATATAAATATATCTAACTGTTTTAAATATCCAAAGTTAAATTATATTTGAGCCAAATATGTCAATCAATTGTCATATATATATATATATACGGTATGCTAAGTTACAAAAGTTTTTAATTTTTTAGCATTTTTGTCTCTTTAGATATATTTTTTACTAATTCGATGCATCCTATCTATTAAAATATGATACATTATTATTACGATATTGGATATACAGTATTGGAAATGTTTGATTTAAACATTTAAAAAAAAGATTTCAATGAATGGCATAAATGCAGACAATGCTTATAATAAGCTAATATTTGTCTTAAGACTCTTAACAGTTGGTAAATGTGTCATAATTGTAATGATTATGATTTTATAATTGTTTATATGCCGTAAACATCTTTTATAAATCGTCGCTCATATGTGATGTAATTATTTTCCTATTAAACGTTAGATTATAATTAAAACAAGTTATGCTAAGATAAATGTATGTAAATTTAATATAAGTTATATAATATAAGTAGCATTTAAATAAAAATTTCGAAAACCTAATTAAAGCAACAAAAAAATCAACAAATAATTCAAACGATTTACTGTATGAACAAACATTTTAATATAAAATTTAATTAGATATTGAGTTAAAATTTAATGTAAATCTTGAAAAAATTACTCAATAGTGATATTATTTAATAAGAAAATTGTTAAGTTTCATAAAGTAATGTTGTGTTTAAATTGATAATTACAGTAAGGAAATCGCAAATAGTTTAATTTATGCAATTGTAAAACGTTAACCAATTTTTTTATATAAAAACGTGTATAAACATAAGTTATTTAATTAAAAATGCAACAAAATGTGCTCTCATAATATCAGTTCAATTATTTTATAATTAAAATTTGAAATCAAATGAAAATATTTTGTGAAAAAACTTGTTAATTGTCAACAAAAATTTGACAAAAAGTTACTTTCATTGATAATAATAATTAATATCGACAAAATTATATGACAAATAAATTGTTTTAACCCATATTAGTTAAATTATATTAAAGATAATTATTAAAACTATTTTAATTTTTGTTTTGTCAAAATGGGTTCCAGTTATATGTCTCTGAAAAATAATAATCAATAGACAAGTAAAGCATTTGATACTTTATTAAAAAAATAAAACATAAAATTATTACTATTATATTAGTTTGTTTTAAATTACTGTCATTTATTTTAGTTTAATGATGTAATGACGTGAATAGTTTTGCCACTCATTAGACAGTCATCTCAGAAAATATTTATATTTGTTTGTATACAATGTATGTCTAAAATCACTTCACTTCAATACATTCACTATAAATTAATATAAATTACTTCCTTATAAAGTGTTTAAACAAAAAAATATTGTGTTTAATATCTATATTTTTGTAGATTTTAATTATTTTATAATAACAAAACAATATTTTTGAAAAATTATAATTATAATATAACTAAAATTAATTATAACAAATACATTATTTTAGTCAGCATTAAATTATGTGGTTTTACCAAACAAAATACATTTTTATCAGCTTTTATTATATATTAATATCAAAAATAATTAATTAAACCTATTTTTATGCAAATATCACATATGGATAGAATACAATACAATACAGTAATACTAAATTAATAATATAATGAAATAACCCAAAATGTAAACATCAAATTCAAGAGTATAAAAATAATTAATTAGTATAATGATTACAAATACAGTATTATAACACAACTTTATATTTATAATTATATATTATATAATGACCTATTGTATTATTTATGGTTTAAATTATAATTTATCATATTAAATTCTTCAATGTGTTTAATTGACAATATTTAAACTAAAATTTTTACTAATAATTATTGTGCAAACTTATGACTGTATATATTATAAATATGATTGTTAATAATTTATTAGTTGGCAGCAATTATAATTTTTATAACATTGTCTAATAAATTAATTTTATTAAATTAAAAGATAATAAATGACAAGTAATTACAATAAATACTAATAAAATACTAATAAATAAATACAATAAAATCAAACATTTCACAGTACTATGAAAGTGCTTATTGAGATTAATTGCTTTAAATATTTTTAATGTATTAATACAATAGTAAGCACTTATACTAAATATCTGATAAGATTTAACTATAAAAATATAATACATTTTTCAGATATGATAAAATAAAAATACATACCTTTTTTTATAAAAATGTGATGTATTTTGTATACACAATGTGTATCTTCAATAATAGTCAGATTAAGTAAAAAATGTCAAATGTATTCAATTTATTGAATATTATAATACAGTGAGTAATAAATTTATACAATATATTAATATTAATAATAAACGGATATTTTATTAATCAATTTATTGTCGATTATATTGAAATCAGTGGAAACACATCAATGCGATAGTCATAAGTGTTGTATAGTTTATGGTATGAAATGTCAGATTCAATGCTATTATTAAATGGCTTTAAAAGGAAATCAAATTATATTTTTGCCGACAATTCACTCTTTATTATGAAAAATATTTTAATATATATTATATACACAGTATTTCTCGATATTTTATACAATATATAGCAATGAAGTCACTGTTATTATTAACATTAGAGACCAAACATATTATTTAAGAGCCACTATCTGACTGACTGTCAGTGATAGCGTCGGAGGCGAGGGATATATACAATACGGTCGGGTAATAAAAGGTTGGGCACTGGGAATCTACCAGTGCTTGTCAGCGATAAATCACTGTATTTACAGTCAGTGGGAGATAGAGAGCCGTGTCTTTAGCTGATTGCTGTGATGTTGTATCAGTCAATGGTTAGGGTATCTTACAGTTTGTTGTCGAGTAACTACACTCTCTCTCACACATCTAACTGTGCGCTAAACAACACAACAAACAATGCAAACTCTGTGAGACTCAGTCACAGACTGGAAAGTACTTACATTCAGTCAATCAGTTGTTTTAGGTATCGGTCTTTCAGTTGAACCCACACTCGTTATCAAAAAACCAACCGATTCTGCGCCCAAACACTGTTTTACCCAAACCCTCAGCACTGGTAGTTTGAATACAGTCTAGTCATGTTATTTATGTGTATATACAGTATAACATTGCTTTTGTATAAATATTATAATATTTATTATAGAATTGCATTAAATATTTGAAAATACAGTATTTGTTTAATGCATTTTAAAAATTTTATATAATGTATAATACAGTACATATAATATTGAATCAAACATTAGTTTTATTATTAATGGACAACAATATCTATTGATTAATCATAAAATTAATTATTATTATAAAAAATATCTAAATATTAACTGCGAGCAACTTATACAGTATATTATACAATACAGTACTGTACTGTACATACAATTGATATATCTATGCTTAGCCCACAAATACCACCATATCTTGAGCTAAAGGTTCCGCTGTAGTGAACCGTAATTAACAAATTGTACTAAAAATGCATTCATATTGTTATATATAATTTAATGCATTGGTTATGGTGTTAATCATCTCATATGAAAAAAATATTTTTTATTTGAAAAATCTCCTAAAATAGAAGTTTATAACAGGAATATAGTATTTGTATGTAATGTCGAGGGAGTGTTTTCTGGCACTTTTCATGTGCATCACTGTAACCATACTGTAATTTATAAGCTTTATATATAGAAAGTAAAATTTAAAGGGGGAGTCATATAAAGGAAGATTTGGCAAAAAAATACTATTAATACAATTTGATAGTTGATATGCAACTGAAAGCAATAGTTTGGAAAATATTTCGATTAAATATCTAAAAACCTGTTTTAAAGAGCACTGCCATTCCCTGCCATCCCTTGTGTTGCATTGACTATCAATTTTGCCACTCTCTTACTCACACAATCCCTGTGCCATTAACTTTATACACTATAGTATTTATACATATGTTATATAAATATGTGGTATAATATAAACCCAGTGTATGTTTTTGATATTTACGTGTAATTCGTTAATAATTTATTTTTTTACTTCAAGGGTTGAAAATTATTATATCATTAAAGAATTTTTATGCATTTTTCTAGAGTATAGCTCGTAATCTCAGTTATAATTCTCTATTATAATACTTATAGTAAATTAGTTAATAAATATTATTTAAAACAAATGACCAAATTATAAATATACAAATGTGTTAAATAGCTTTGTACTTATTTTTTATATTACAAATGAATAAACCTGTAATGTAAAATAATTTATAAAATTAAAAAATCAAATAATAATTAGACAACTTTTATTTTATTTTCAATAATTTAAATGATCTCAAGTATCTGATTCATACAAATTTTGTTGCATTAAAATTATTTGATACAACCAACAAAAAATTAATTATTTTATATCATATTATTTGTTAGTTTATATAATATTAAATTACCGGTAAATATGTTTTATAACAATATATTGTATGCAAATCTAGTATTTTTATGACATTACATATTTTCATTTTTATTTTTGTCAATCATATAAAAAATTGGTTATTTAATACATAAATTTGTACAATATATTGATTGTGCATAAAATTTTCATTATATGTTTTCAAGTCTTAATTTAGAGAATATGTTTTACCATCGATTACATCATATCTTATTTAAAGATAAAACTAATGAAAATTCAATTTTCATTTATATAATTAATGCTTTAATAATATTTTTGGTAAATGAATGAAATTAATTTAAAAGTTATATTAAATAATTTTCATTAATACTATTATATTTCATTATTCTCTGAATATTTAATTAAATTTTTAATAACTTTCACTTCTTTATCAGTTCTCAAATAACTATCTATTTCTGTGTCTGAAATCTCTTCATCAGATTTACTGCAATCTAAAGAAATCTTCTGACTATTTGTGTCACAAGTATTTGCAATATTTGGTTCACGTATAAAGTCATCACACAATTCACCAGATTTTAYGTTAGGGTTGTCTTCCTTTACAAATGTTATACCATTTACCGATAAATTTTGTTTAATTTGTTGATTATAATCAAAAACAAGTGATGATTGATAAGTGAGGACTTCATCCAAAACAGCAGAAATGTTACACTTATTGACATTTCTTTTATGTTTTGGCAGATGTGTGGCCAACCGTTTAATAGCATTGACCAGTTCGGTGACTCTTTCACTAGTTGTGTGTTTATATTCAATACCAATGAGTCTGCAATAGTCCTTTAACTTTATTTTTCGGCGTTCATATTGTTTGATTGATTTCCAGGCCAGATATGAAGCCGCATATATTATATGACACGGCATACGGCCCTCTATTAGCCAACATTCCCGAAGTAATTGTAAGATTTTACATACTTTCTCCTCTAATATCTATTAATATAGGATATGATATATAAAAATCAATAATCACAACAAATAACAAAAAACCTTTGTTTCGGTGCTATCGAAAGTGGCCTCACTTAAGATCACGGGAACTAATGACTCGATAGACATCTGTTGTGGTCTTTGTTGAGGAATTTCGGTGATCACTTGATTCAATATTTTGTAGAAATCACTGGAATCACATCCAATTGTTTTACACCTTTTAACCGAAACTTCTTCATGTTTAGTGTCTTCGCAATTGTCATCTTCGAGATTATCAATGATATCATCACTCGATGTGTCCATTGTTTACATCAATCAAATGCAACACAACTTTCACATCAAATCACATGACAAACACTGACGTAATGTTAAAGCAATCAAACAATGTATTCATTGAAATCATATTTTGGATAACTTTTTATTGTTTATTGCATTTCATTTGCAATCAATGTTTTTATAATTAATTAATTAATTAATTGAAATAATATTATTATAATTGCATTTGTTTTAAGACATTTGTTAATTTTTTTATTCATTGGCCATAATTATAACATTTTTTATTTTTTTCACTAATCTTGTACTCAATTATTAATTATTTACAATAAGATGACWGTTTGTTTAACTGAMTGTTAACAGTTAACAATTAAATTTAATTAAACAAATTACTGTACATTTAATACATGTATTTTAAAAAGTTTTATATTTTCAATGGTTATAATGCAATGGTAGTTAAAGTATAATATATTTAGTTAACAATTTGTTAAAATAGTTAAGTAATTAAATGTTTAACTAAATCTATAAATTAGATATAATTCTGACTTTAAGTCAATTCTATTGATTTATATAAAGAGAATCACATAATCAATGAATGCTATTGAATGTCAATTGAATACATATTTGTTAATATTTATACATTTTAAGAATAATTTGTATTTAGAAGTTGTAAATTACAATACATAACACAAAAATACAACAAAAAATATAAGATAATTATAAAAACATTTAAATAAAATTAATTTAAAGTTTTTACATTTTTAGTAAATATTATTTTCGAAGTATTTTTTATAAAAGTAAAGAATTATTTTAACTAATGAAARTGATTAATACAAATAGTATTCTTTATATTAAAAATACAGTAATTATTTATGTTATACTATAAAACATTTTTTATTCTTATAAATATTGCTAAATCATTAAAGATTTTAAATTATGTAGATATTTGTTATTTTCTTAATAATAGTTTAATTTATAGATATTTTTTAATGTTAAAGATATTTCTATAATTCAGTTTCTATATTTCTATATATATACAAAATATATATTTATAATAGTATATATATGTAGCATAACTATATATTATTAAGCTAATTAACAATTAATTTTATAACATTTATCAAATATCAAATTATGGCATATACAGTATATGAAACATAAATATTTTGTTTTTGATGAAAAGTGTAAAAAATATTTTAAGTATATTTTCTAAATGTCTTTTTAATAATTTAAATCCAAACAATATTCATTGTATTTGCATTTTTATATAAAATAAACTTTTAATTTATAGGTTTTTAAGTGTTTGACAATCACTTGTACAGAGCATTTAACAAAATTGCCTAWTAGTTAGAATTTTTATTAGTTTTTTGCAGATCATTATTAATAATATATTTTTGTAAATTAAAATATGAAACAATTTTGTCAAATGTTCTCTACACGTGTTCACAATTCAAGTGATAATAAGCTGATTAATAATATGTGAATAACCAAAATATTACTAAACATATATCAATAWATAAATTATATGTAAAGCAATGCAAAGGCAAACCTCCATCAATGATAACAATGGTTTACATATGTAATGTTAAATTTTATAATTTATTATAAATTAATTAGTTTTCAATTTTTTAATATACAGTATATTATAAAAATCAGTTAAAAATTTAAATCAGTACAATATTTTACTATAATATATATAAATTATAAGATGTAATAGACTTACTAATAGTCATTAAAATTATTATATTATATATAAAGTCTTCAAGACTTTGTAATATATAAATATACAATACATAGATAATTATCGTAATATAATTAATAATAAAGTATAAAAATGTTTTTATTTGTAGTCTGAAATGAATTATAGTGTACTCTAAGACAACATAAAACTCAATTATTAGCCTTTATTTTTTGTAATTTTTAAAATTATTGTTTAAATATCTATTTATTTAACTAATATTATCGTAATACAGTGTATATCTTAATATAAATACAGTATAACCTTATATATAAATATTTAGACAATTATATATTTAAACTACATGTATAAACTTATATAAATTAATTTATATCTCATAACTATTTTTAATAAAAATATTTTTTGTGCCTTTAAAAATATTTAATCTTCAACTCAACAATTAATCATTACTAAGTTTTATTATATAAAATTAGAAAAAAATTGTAAATAATTTGAACAGTATATACTATATAATTTATATTTTATCATTTCATGTACTATATATATATATTTATATATTGTTGTATATAACTACAATATATAGAATTATATATACAGTATATTATAACATAAATGTATTAAAGAAATTCATTCATCACTTTTTTATTTATTGTTATACTTTAATTGCAATTATTATTATTTTTTGATTATTATTATATCAAACTATAACATTACAGTTCAGTTGTATAATAGTGTACTTATCATTAACAGAGCAAACCATTGTATAAACAAAATAAAAATACTTTAATTTATTGCAAAGTTTTATAGTTATGTAAGTACTGTATAATAAAAAATGATATCATAATAATAGTTTTATTTTAAGATAATGAAGTCTTAAAAAATAAAATAAAAACTAATTTAAATATTAAATGAAAATATTTATATTTTACATTATAAAAAAAAGTTTTATATAATTATAAATACCTATACTAGGAAGCTTACATTATATTAAAATTATTAACACTTGAGTTAAATTTGATTTTTAGTTTAAGTAAATTATATTATTTAACTTTTAAAAATCTTTTAGTTATTATTACTTAGAAATTAAAATTTAATTATAGAAACCAATTTTAATTATAAGTTTTTACAAATTCAATAAACTTATTTAGTTAACACATAATTCATGTGAACTTTAAYTTATAATCGTAAATAAAAAGTCTGAAAATGCAAACTAATAATTATTATTAATATAATACTAACTTATTATAGTATTATTGATATTTATATTTTTGCAAATTATCTGTTTATCAATCATTTATTTATATGTTATCGTATCTTATTTGCCAATATATAAATAAATAAATAGCGTAAATATATTCATAATTATCTGATTATAAATTAAATTGCAAAATGTAATTATCGATTATATCACGGATTTTGATTATAATTTTAAGGATATTCTAAAAATACATTTTTATATGTTTTTAATAGTTTAATTAAAAGTGTATTTAAATAGTAATAATAATATAATTTTTATATTTATATGCAGTTATTTTTTTAGTTTATGTATTGACAATTTTTAAATGAAAATGGATAAATTTATATAATTATTGCATATAAATAAAAACTATTTAAATTATTTGAAATAAAAATATCTTTTTTAAATGACACAAATTTAAAAAACTTATATTATCTAAGCATTTCTTAAAAATTTACCATAATTTTAATTTTAAATTAAATTTTTAAGTTATTAATATTAGTTTTTTGAGATATAACTATCATATAATAAGAGAATAAATATATTTTGAAATTAAATTTGAAACTCAAAAAAAAAAATTTTAAATTATATATAATTGATATTTTAATTTAGTAATTGAATAATTGAATAATAAAGATAAAAATTTTAATTATGTATGACATATAGAGTTGACAAAAAGGAGATATTTATAAAATAATAGCGAAATTTCAGTCTATGTTATGACCATTTCATTTAGTTTTTTCAATTTTTCTAATCTGATAACAAGTAGTGTTGACAAAAAAGAGAAATTTATAAAATAATAGAGAAATATCTATCTATGGGATACCCATTTTAATTTTGTTCTCTATATATTTGTTATCTTCAAACAATACATTGTTTTTATAAGTAATAATTTAAAATTATTAATAGTATTTTAATTATTAATTAAAGTAAATAATTAATTAATATAATTATATTAAACTATGATATCTATAAAAAAATGATGAGTCAAATTTTACAAAACTGATTATTATTAAATAATTATAATTATTTTTTATACGTATACTATTTAATAGTYTACTATACCGGTATAGTATAATATTATATTTATAGTATTATGTCTCATTAATATATAGTACATTATTACAATAGTTTTAGATATGGGGATCCCATAGTATAATAATAAAGTTAAATTTCTATAGAAATTTATTCCTGAGAAATTTTCTAGAAACTTTCTATTTGCCAATCTCTAATAACAAGACATTATAAATTTTAAAAAATAAGAAATTAAATACTATTAGTATTAGTGTTTTGATTAATACTCAAAGTAACAAATAATTTATTCAATTACATTAAATTGAAATCTTAAGTCTATTAATGAAATATGAATAAAATTTTGCAAAAACTATTATTACAGTATAATATTATATAATTAAATTAAATTTATAATAATATATAGAAATTAATGATAAATTTAAATTATTTATGAATATGACATTTTACAGTAGCAAATCATATTTAAAATATTTTTAATCTTTTAATTAAATTAAAAAATAGATTAAATTAAATTAAAATTTAATAAGTGTATTATTTTCATAAAGAGTTTTATAACAAATTTTAAGATAGAAATGTAATTATAATATATAAAAATATTTTTATAACAAATTCAAAATAGTTAAAAATGATATATTTTATAGATTTTTCAAACAATAATACTATATAACAAAACAAAAATATTTAATTTATAATTTTAACATAAAATGATTTGTATGATAAATATGAATTAATTGTGAGATTTATTTTTTGATAATTTGGAAGTCAACCACTTTTTTACAGAAAATCTGTTTTCTTTAATATTTCGTTTGGTTTGTAAAAATTTTGATGAAATCAAATTAAATTTTTTATTCACAGATCGTTGGCGACCATTGACTGATAATTTTTGCGGTCTATGGTTCATAGTTCGGGCCACATGTCGGCTACCATTTAAGATATATTGCAGAGGATTTGAATATTTTTTTGACCAAATATGATCATCAAATTTGTTTCGCAACAGTCCTGTTGTCGTAATTGTAAGCATCTATTGAATAAAATTATATATTTTAATTAAAAATAATTAATGCATGTCGTAGTTTGACTAATTACATAGTTTAGTTTAAATTTGCTATAAATAATCTAAATAACTATTTAATTTAGATAAGTTTTAAAATATTAGACAATCAGAGAGAGAGAGAGAGAGAGAGAGAGAGAGAGAGAGAAAGAGAGAGAGAGAAAGAGAGAGTCGTGGGAATTAACAAAATTATTAAACATAATTTACTCATTAATAAAATATATGAAATATTTAATTATAGTGTATTTATACTTTAAATTCTTGTAATATCAAATATGTGAATTTTCACTGTATACTATTTCTATTTAAATAAATAATAAATTGAGTTATAAATATTTATGCTTACATAAATAATTATTTTGTTATTATTAAATTATAAATTTATTGAGTACATTGCATATTTATATACACTAATCACTAGAAAGTGTATTAATATTAGCTTTAATACTGTATTTATAAGGAAAATTAATTTTTATAGAAATATTTTGTATTATAAATTCATTTTAATTGATTTTATAAGATCTAAAACTACTATTTTGAATACGAGTGACATTTATAGAAAGTTTTTTAATGCAAAATCTATTTCATGAATAAATTGTTGAATAAAATTATTTGTTTTTCATGTAATTTATTTGATAAGTAAAATGATTTAAATATAATTTACTTTATTTGGATGTAATATCGCAACCGGACGTTCATTAGATGTAGCAAAGTGTGTGTCCATCACTTGAACAGGTAATTGAGTTACCGGTGGAAGAGCTGTAGTGCGAACTCCATAGGGATTGAACATTGTTTGCATTGGAGTTGAACTCAAATATAAGCCATCAATTATTGGTGGCATCAATGGTTTGGCAACAAATGATGGATAAACTTTAGGTCTCTTTTTTATGTTTGTTGTCTTTGACTTAACTTTACTTTTAGGCTCTCTTTTAAAAGGTTTAGTCATTGACTCTTCTATCTGTTTTTTGAGACAATTATTTTGGGATTTATTTACTATTTATTTATTATAACGTATTAAATATAAAAAATCATTTGATAGTGATGTTTGCTTACCTTAGTATTAATTTTAATAGGTCTCACATAAGTATTTTCATTAAATGTATGCAATTTTTGTTTATTATCATTTTCTTGATATTTATTATTGTTAATATTTTTGGCATAATTTTGTGATTTTAGTAAATGAATGCCATTATTATCAACAATTTTGTCAACTGTATTACCACTGGTCTCTAATTTGTTCACTTTGTTTGACACTTGTTTATCAGCAATACTTGTCAATGCAATAATAGGTCGGCCATTGAATCCAGTTTTAATATATTTTTCAACGGTATCACTATTTTCAAGACCAGTTGGATATTTAATATGATAGTGAAAATATGGATTATTTGTAGGTATAGGTAGTGTAGGAATCGGCTCCTCAACTGTTTCTCTCATATCATACGCTGTTTTATATTGAGATGCAATTTGTTGTTCACTACTATAATCATTATTAATTGGCTTAACATATGTTTGGTTTGGATAATATCGATCATAAAAATTAATCTCTTTTGACTCATTAGTTGGGATAGCAAATGAAGTATTGATGTAATTAGTGATTTTGTGGTCATTATTATCATTATTATTTGTTTTGCTAACATCTAAATTGAAATCATAATTTTGGTTATCATTAATATCAAGATTTTGTGTCTTCTCTTTAGGAATGGACTSATAAAAGTACTGTTGATTTTGATAATATTGTGGATTACTCTTAATTCTCTGTATATCACTTGTGGCCACATTTCGGACATTATTGGGTGACTCATCCGAGTCATAGGGAATGACTTCTGATATTAATGGCAATGAATAAGGATTAACATCATTACCATATGTTGAGGAATCAATCGTTTCCATCATTTTATTGTTATTACTCTCAATGTCTGCATTCACTGCATTCTCGATCTTTTGCATTAAATTCTGATTTTCATAACTATTTTCTTTGAAATTATTGTTAGTTTTAGTGTTTTTTCCATAAAATGCTTGATTATTGTGCAGCCAATGATCATCAGTTGTAGTGATGGGTCTCCACTTGCTTTTTGTGTCAATGTTTGGCATACGAAAGCCTGTAGTCATTGAAGAACTTACTTTTATATCTCTTACAATCGATGGTTTACGCCATGTCTGCTCTGATGATATGTTTTCTTTAGTATGAAAAGTGGGTTTTTGTACATTAAATTGTTGTTGACTTTCTCCAGACTTAATGCCATTATTGAAATATTTATTATAGTTATCGGCGGAGAATAATATGGTATTCCTATTCTTATTGTTAGCCAWTCCCTGTTTGTCCTCTTCATTGCCTTAATTTTAGTAAATATATAAATAATTTAATTATAGATTATGTATAATAGTAGAGCTATTGATGTATTTATTTTTATTACTTTCTATTTATATTATTAAAATTACTAAAATATTAAATGTTTAATATAAATATAAATATAAGAAAAACATGTGATTTATCACCCATTTGGCTAAGAGTTGAGTAAACAGTGGGAAATGTTAATATAAACATAAATTTATAATTATTTTATTTAACTTACAAAATAACAGGATTTCTATTTAAAGAAAATCTTATAAATACAATAAACAAAATATATATTAAGATATCAATAGTCCACATATGGTAACATACTTATAGGCGATGTCTGAATCCTATTGCCATAAAGTGGATCGTAATGATTGTCAATGTTTTTAATATTTTGATGGTATTGTCTGGTATCACCTTTAGTGACATCCCCTGCGCTATGCATTTTAGTGTGTGATTTGGATCCATTGGTGTGTGTCTTGTATGTGGTGTCCACTTTACGTCCGCGATCGACAAACTCAGTTTCAGTGATGATCTTATACCCCCTTTCCTTCCAACCCTTATATTTATGAGCGTTATCTTTATGTTTGTATTTGCGATCACTTTCTGTTAAAAAATCAAATCAAATATAACTAAACTACTTTTAAGTTACAGACATTTATGTAATCATAATAATTGTTATGAATTTGTGTGCAATATATTTCATTAAATTTTAACAATAAAAATAAAATTAATCTAAGTTGCAGTTTCATTATATAAATTTTAGATAATTTTTAATATTTATTAAATCATCAAAATTGATATTTAAATAATATTTCTTATATTTAATTTTATACAATATATTCAATAATATGATATGTTAGAGAAGGTGTACGTGTTTGTCATTTTATTATTTTTGTTTCAATTTAATATACACTATATATATATATAAACTGTATATGTATGTAAAGTTAATTTTGTTATTTTAATTTATTTTATGATTAAATAGTACAGTATTTATTATAACTATTATTGTTTTGTTGGTATAGTTTTATTTGTTGTTATTGAACTCAGGGCTAAACATTAACTATTAAAAGTAAAAATAGTAAAATAACAAATATTATTTTATGTGTGTTAAACATATTGTTATTTTTATATTCATTTTGATATTTTAAGGGAATAATGAAAAATAATAATAAATWGTTAATGCATTAATAGTTTTGTCACCTGATATGCAAATTAAAATAATTCATTACCAAATATATCATACTATGCCATACCTGGGAAAACTGTATCAAATGTGTGTCCATTAGTGGCATGAGTTTGCTGACTGTCTGAGTACTGATGAGGATCGGCAACAGTCAGTGTTCCGCTTGGGCTCACTGTTCCGTCCGGTGCTATCACTGTATTGGTCATTGAACCTGAAGTGTGTTCACCGTAATTGCCCCCATCATCTGCACCCTTATCCACACCTAATTTATCTTTATTGTAGGCCGAGTCCAATATTTGCTCTGTTATATACAACATATGGTAAACAATTATCAACATTTTTAATGCAATAAAAAATAAGTTTTGCATTAGAAATACAGGTATCATTACCAGTATATAAATAATATAAATAAAAGATACCACATATAAATAAAATTATTCAATCATACAATTAACACATTTTTCTTATTATAATAGTTTTGTATTTAAGTGTTTCTTATTTTTCTCACATAATTAATATTTTGTTGTTTCTAAATATACTAAATATTAAAATCTAAACATTTCACACAAATGTCAAGTCTATTGTAAATCATTAATTGCAATCTTATCGTATATTTTCGTGTAAATCAGTCATTTTAAGTTAAATTATTATATTAAAAATTTAATGTTAAAATATTTTTTGAATTCATTCAACTTATAAATATAATATTTTATTAATTATGCTTAAAATATCGTTTTTTAGTCATTTTATGTTATATTTGATTATTAAAAATAATCATAATTTTTAGATAATGTTTTTCTGTTAATCTGTTAATGTTTTTAAAAATAATTGAGTGCCTTTTAATTTAAAGCTATTAAAATACTAATTATATATATAATGATAAATTTTTACATAATTATTTTGTTGTTATTGAATTTTGTTTTTTTTGTTAACATTTGTTAGATTAACAATAAAAACCAAAACAATATTTTATTAACTATTGCTATAATCAGGTCGAGAGTTAATCATTTGTCTGGTAAATGATGTTTCAATAATTTTTTCCAAGAATTACATGACTAACTCATTACAGTATAGTCGATGATATTTTTATCAAAAAAAACTTAATTGATTGTAATAATATGGAAATAAATGTTTGTTATCACTAACAGTTTATCTATTATTATATTAGTAAATGATTATAAACTATAAATATAATAAACATTCAAAAACTGAAAAAATCATTCAAAGAATATAATATTTAAGTTATAAAATCATATATAAAATCAGTAATAAAGTAATTTTAATAAAAAATTAAATAAAATTTGAAAGTATATTAAAAAGTTATTTGAATAAGTATTTGAAGGATGTTTAGTCATAAAGTAATAAAATATAAGAAAATAAATGATATAAGAGTAGAGTATTGATGACAAACCGCGTTCAAAGAACTCAATTACAGTCCTTTCCTTAAGAGCCCTCTCATTGTTGGCCCGTTTGTCGTGTGAATCAATTTTCTTATTCTTGTTTACATTGACTGACTCTTTCGCCTGAGAAGACCTGTCTTTATTGTATTTGACTCTCTTATAGTCCATTCCCTTATCATTTCCCGATTGACTCTCACTTTTCAATAGGTTTGTCTCTAAAGTCAACGGTTCCTCTTGAGTCGCATTATTAGTATTACCGTTATTATCGGTAGTCAGTGAATAGTCAGCACTTGACTCACTGCCTGTCAAATCATCTGAATTATTATCATTAAGGTCTTTGTCATCAGTTAACTCTTCTTCCGTTACATTACTTTTGTCTGTCAATAGTGGTATAAAAAATCAATAATCATGTCATCAGTTAATACAGAATATTTGATATGTTTTATTGTGTATAAAACACAGATAAGAAATTTCCATTAAATTATAGTATAAATTGATATAAAGTTTTAAAAGAGTTTATATTTATTTATGAATCATATAAATAGTTGTCATTACCATTATTTGGTGACTCATAGACAGTAACTTTGTAGCCAAAAGTTTTCTTAATGAGTCCGTCCTCATCGTAATCATTATAAGTATAGCTATTATTTTTATCGGTATCGATGTCATCAATAAGCGTTTGATTATATCTTAATGGATCAGTTAAATAGTGGACAGTCATATCATTATCGGAACGTCTATTATTTTCTTCTACTTTATCGGGTGTATATATGTCATCATAATAACCGGGGGGATAGTATTGGGCGTATGTGCCTATGATTTACAAAACATTTGAACAATCTTATGTCTAATTTGTAATGTAAATGATTATGCATAATAAGTTAATAAATAATAATTTATTTATGTTAATTAAATAATGAGATAATTATTATAATGTAATTATTGAAAAAATGATAAATGTTTGCCTTAGATTGAAAATTACTGTTTAATACTATAATATTAATGATTAAAATAATTTTTAATAATAACTAAACATTTTTAGATAGAAATTGAAATTTAATAAAATTACCCTTTTCTTTATTAATTGAAATATCATTTTTGACTTTTTGTGCAAAATCTTTATATTTATCTGACAATTCTTTGCCGAGTGGACTCAATTTGCTTATGGATCGCATGATTTTAGCCAACTCTTTCATCATTGAATCAAATTTCATCATTTTATTAGGAAGTGTTGGCTTATTGTGATTATTATAATTATTAGCTTCCGGTAGACTTAATCCAAATATTTTGACACTATCTTCAGGTTTATTGAGCTCAGCCTTAAATAACTCTGGATTCGGCAAAATGTTATGTTTGTCCCTATTTTGTTGATCTTTCAATGCATTCATATATTGCTTATGTGTTTCCAATATCTCGTGATCTGACATATAATTTGGTGATTCGTTGACAAGTGATGAAAGTGGTATATCCTTATCTATATAATCAGTATCTATTTATTTGTAATTATTAAAAAATATGTTATTTTTTATGTCAATAAAACTGTTAAAAAGTCGTTTATAAGTCAATGAACTTTTACATAATAAAAAATGATAATAAAATTATATAATAATATATATATTATAAATTTAATGGGTGGAGTGTTATTGATATAACGATCACTATTTCTAGTATATATTATTTTATGCATTATTTACAATAGTTTAATATAATATTATTTTATTATATTTATTTCAAGAAATGCCTTTTATTTAAAGATTCATCTACTGTATAGTAATGTAGGAAAAATATTAAATTATTTATTATAAAAACTGACACAAAACAAACAATTTTCATTATCATTATAATTAATTAACTACATTAAAGTTATAAATATTATTATACTACATATTAAGTATTATATATAATCTAATTAAGTAAAATGTAATCAATTTAAACGTCAATAAGTTGACCTATCAAACTGTTAATGTAATAACTAAACACTGAAAGTTCATCAATATATAAGATTTATTAAAATTTAACTCAAAAAATAATTAATTAATTATCTATAGAATGTTTCAAATATTGTATTCAAATATAATAATAGCGGAAATTAGTGATTACTAGAATAATTAATATTAAGGATAATTTGATTTGTTTTTTATCTATTACAATATTATAAAGTACATAATAATATTTTATAATTCAAACAGTGTAATTTAGTTGTATAATTAACAAGATTTTTGTTAATTTTATTGCAATGCACTATACATTGATATACATAGTAATTGTATTATAAATTTAAAAACCGTACAATTTTTTCAAATATCGAACTGAACTGAAACCAAAAATTACAACAAAATCAATCGAAACCATAATTTAATAGTTAAAACCAATTGTTATTTTAATAGAGTTAATACTAAATTGAGAAATTGAATCAAACCTAAACCGTATAAAATAATGTCTAAACCGCACAAAATTAGTTTTAGGTTCCGGTTTTTTCGGGGTAACCCAACTGAATCGTATACTCTTTATTACTCTATTACTGATATTATATTATAGTACAGTACAGTACAGTACAGTACAGTACAGTACAGTACAGTACAGTACAGTATAATATACCAAATAATAAATTAAAATCATACCTTCAATAATAGGCTGTTCATCATTTAGGTCAGTGCCGCCGCTCATGTGTTGAGTATTTGTCTCAAATATAGAGCTATCAGTAATTGGTTGGATATCTTTATATTGATTGATCCGATTGTTGGTATTATTTAAGTCTTTTTTATTCCTCAGGATTTCAATTTCATTGTTTCTTAAGCCAAACTCATCTCTTCTAGAGATTGTGGGCCTAAAGTTATTAGAGCTGTTTGTTTGTAATCTTGAAATAATGTCATTTAAATCAACATTTTTTGCATTTAGTGTTTCAACGGTAATGTTATTTCGCGAAGCATTTAATAATTTCATCACATATTCAGTTAATTTATTGTTTGGACAATCATTTGATACACTGATTAGTTTAGGCTTCAGTGTTGGTGTCTGTCGTGAAGGAAATATCAGATGTGTTGACATAAAGTGCCGATTTTCAGATGTCATCATTGGATCTCTTTTTCCATTAACTTGTGTTTTATTGACCATATGTTTCACAAACTTACTCACAGTCTTATGTATTGGTGTTAAAACTTTTGTTACATTTGTTATAATATTAGGCTTTGGTGTGAATAAAGCTTTATTTGTATGATTTATATCTAATTTAATTTAATATAAATTATTAATAATAAAGACTAATCTCATTATAATTACTTACAATAATTTCCCAAAAATGGTTTATAAGCGGATATTAAATTATCGATCGATACTCTGGGAGGCGTTTGAGAGGGCGTTCGAGTAATTCTTAGACCAAATTGACGGTCCGGTTGTCCAAAATGTTGTCTAATTGCTTGTCTTCTTAGTTCTGAAGAACTTAGTTTTGTTTGTTGGGTTGAATTGATGGGTAAATCAATTAATGGACTGATAGTTGTGACTGTTGTCGTCGTAGTAGATCTACTCGTGTATAAAGTGGTTGTTTCAATCAATGGTTGTATCTTAGAGTTTATAGTTATTTCAAAAGGTGATACTATAGTAGCCATTGTTGTCTTCTAAATTAAATATATCAAAACAATTTAAAGATAATAATTTAAATAAACATTATATTAATAATTAATTACAATTTTTAGTGGGTGTGTAATATTAAACATCGGAATATCGGTAGCATTAATAGGAACGGTAACTATAGGTGCGGCCGATTCTAAAGTAGATAATGTGTCGTCAATATCAGTGAATGCAGAATATGCTGCATAAGTAGGTTTTGGTAAAACCAATTGATTTTTATTTGTGTTTTCAGTTTTTCTGTCCAATATTTGATAATTTCGTGGTGGATATGATACGGATGAACCCATTAATCCGTTTATTACAGTGATATCACCCTTTGTTGTTGTTTTTGTCTCTAAAATTATAATATCAATAGTATATAATAAAAAAATGAGTCTAATTTCAGAATATTACAAACCATTTAATAATTTTGGTGATAGTTTTATGGCATCGTTGGACAACTGAAAACCTAAAGGAATAGATGGCACGATATGTGACGACCATTTAGTTGGTCTCATCAATAGATTCCTTAACGTAATGTCTTGTAAAGTATTATTACTGACATTATTAGTATCGGTGGTCAATGCTGTTGACCATAATTGTCGTAAAACATTTGATGGTCGAGAAAATGATATTTTATGGTTAATGTCAGAGACAGGTGTCTCGTTAGATGCGATTATATTGTTTGTATGATTAGATATACCATTAATGACATTAAATAAGTTAATTTTATTATCGTATGCATTATGTTTTCCATGGCATATAATAATTAACAAAATAAATGATGATATTGAAAGCCATTTATAGTCAAAAGTCTAAACGGGAAATAAAATTTTTTAATTTTTTAAAGTATTAATTAAAAAAATCAATAAAAGTAATATTTATTAGTCATAAAAATCATATAAATTTTATTGTTTTTAAATATTATATGTTTTCTAAATAAAATTCTCATACAAAACTATTTATGATTGCTTTTTTAAAACTTAAGATAGTTTAGTTATTAGCGGATAGTATAGTTATACAATTTATATAATATATATAATCAAAAAATACATTTTTACGGATCACTATGTTTTCACATACTATACAACAATTGCAAGGAAAACATTTATAGTTTTTAAATTAATAATTACTTTAATATACTTTAAAACTCTAAACAATTTTAAAAATAGAATTATGAGTTAGTACTGGTAATAATAATAATAAAATAAATTAATATTTAAAATATTTAATAATATACCTATATAAATATATTAACAATGTCAATTATTAATAAAATACTTATATAAATCTTACTGATTAAAAAATTGATTACATTATAAATTAATAAACATAATGTAAACTAGTAAATATATATAATGTTAATAAAAATTTGTATTAATTAACTAAATATTTTTATTTTTTAAAAAGTTTTCATATTGAATAAAATTTTACTTACATTGTATTTACTAATATCATACATAACTGTTGAAATTAAATTTGTCTATTATTATACACATTAGAAAATCAAAGAAAGTTCACTTTATTGTTGAAACTTAGTTTATTTTTATTCACAATATTTTTATTAATATAAAATTTAAAATTTATTACATAATATTATTATTTACACTTTTCTTATAAGTTTATATCAAATATTGTTGAGTAATAAAAAGTAAACATTTTATTGTATTAATACAATATATTTCACATTAAAAAATTTAAACATTCGAATAGTGTTTCAAAAATAGCTATTTTACTAAACAACAAACTAAAACATAATTCACATAATTAGTGATGAATTGCAAATTATTTTTATAGAAACAGTGAATTAGAATTTGTTTCAATGAAATAAAACTTTAATAAATTTGTTTTAAAAAAATTAGACTAATTTTTTCTAATATACTCAAACATTATAAATAATCTTATTTGATATTTACTTAATAAACATTAAATTCGTATCAAACATATATTACAATCACAAGAGTATAAAAATGATAATTGAATTAAAACTGATTTCTCGTGAGAGATGACAACAATAGTAAAGAGTATGAGAGAAACACAAAACTTTTTTTAATCTATAATGTAATTCATAGAAAAAAATTGCTGAGAATTTTATTGTTATAAAGACAGAGTAAAAGCAAAACTAAATAACAATTTTATTGGATTAATAATTTTATATATCATATTATTTCTAAAATATAATAATAAAATCCATGTCATAGTGTTCATCAATTGATTGTCTAATCACTTATTGGTCTCATTATTAAATATATTATTAATATATAACATGATATGATGTTTTGTTGTTAAGACAGGTAAGTCAATACCATAGTAGACTTTAGGTGTGTTCAAACAATAGTCTCATTTCGGCACTTATTGACAATACCTATCAATTTGGGTGAACCAAATCTTACAGTTTTCTTACATATATTTTACGGTATTATTGTTTCAAGTTTTTTCATGAATTAGTATTTTTATGGGAAAAGTGTGTATATATCTAAAGGTAATGTTCACCTAAAGGTATTTCACTCATCTATGTGTATATGTAATGGCATAGTTGGCGGTCGTATTATTGGAGGTCCAATGGCTGACTTGTATTACTAATATTAAATACTGGGGTATATTCCTTGTCAATAAATAGTATAACAATACATTACATTTATACTAATTTACTAATAATTATGTGCATATTATATACATATTAAGTATTAATACCGGAGCCATTTATTTTTTTAAACTTGATTTCGCTTCGTTAGTCATGTTAAACATGCAATCAATAAACTACTTATATTTTTGCAATTTTATCTAAATATCGATTATTTTTTCCATAACTAGTATAAAATAATTGTGTTTATAATTATAGAATATATATATATATATCATTCATTATTTCATTTAAATCGTCTCTAAACTTTGACAAAAATATTTTTGATTTTTTTTATTCATACCATTTAATTATTAAAAATAAGAAAATTATGTTCATTGGGAATGCTATTTATTTTATATAAAAATAGTCAATTTATTAAGTCTAATGTAATATTGATATCCTCATTGTATCTATTCACAAAAAAAAACTAATTATGCGATATATATATATAATATCTTTTAACTTATATTATAAATAGTGGAGTTTTAATTAAAAATAAATTTTTAATAATTTATGTTTATATAATTTTAAAATAACAAAATTATTTTTTACTTAAAATTTAGCAATAATATATTTTGTATAATAACCTAAAATAGAAAACATGCTGATAGTTAAAAAAAATAAAATCATAAATAAAACTATATTATACAACTATTACATTATTTTAATAGTATTTACTTTAATTTAAAATTCAACTTTATATTCTATTAATTGTTAATTTGTAGTACCGGTAATAGTATTTTATAATTATATATTTCAATACTTATTTGTAAATAATAAGATATTTTAAGTTCCTAATGGAGTTTTAATTTAACTAAAATTTTTTACTTAATTTACCGGTTTTAATAAAATAGCTTAGCATCCATTAAATATTCAAAAATATCTTTTAATTATAATAATTTATGTAAAAAGCTTTGCAAATTTTGCTTAAAATAATTTTAATAAATTAATAATCTTTTAAAATTATAAATACTATTAATAGATAATTGATAAAATATCTACATCTAAAACTTTATTAAGATAAAGTTATTTTTATTATTTTTATAAAAATTACTTTATAAAACTAATTTTTGAAAGATATACATTTTTAAAAGTTATTCTATATATAAATATTAATAAACAAACATTTATATATTTTTTTATCTAAACTAATTTTAATGATATATGATATCATTGATTTTTATAAACTATTTTAAAATAATTATTGTAAATTTATATAAATAATTACTTATATTTTAAGAAGTTTATATTATTAAACTATTAATCAATCAAATGTTTACATTTTTATATTATTTAGTTAATTATTTGTAATATTTTTTTACATATAATTATCATAATTTTGCATAAAATTATAATTTTGTTGTCAAGTTCGTGAAATATTTACCTGATTTTTGTTAAATATTTAAATGCATGAATTGTTACGTTTTAGAGACTTAAGGCATTTATTTTGTTAACAAAAATCAATTCAACAAAAAATATTCACTAATAAACATGTATTATATATTAAAAGATTTTCAAAAAATTATTTATTTTATAATAAAATAAAAATATTTGTAATATTTTTTTAAACATAATCTAGTATTTCTTTTTAAAACTTATAAAAACATTTTAAAAATATAAGTCAAGTTCTAGTTCTTTATCAATATAAATGAGATAAAGATATTGACAAAAAATGTTGTTTTTGTGTTTTATTTTTCTAAAATAATAATAATAATACAAATTCATTGAACTAATTAACTATAACTTTAATTAAATTATAACTTTTGAACAAAAGTTTCAACTTATTGTTTGAAATATTTAAAAAAATGACATAACTTTTAATGATGAAAACATCTGTTGACTTAAGAAATTTCTAACAAAAAAATGTCATCGATTTCATTGAACTCATTGATTACTTTTTATTTCAAACAAATGATTTACTCTCACACAAAATGGTGTAATTGTCTACAAAAAAAACATTGAATTTGGTGACAATTATCACTTAACCACAGTTTTGTTTAATGATATCTCTTTCATTATTTTATATTTTGTATATACAGTATAATAAAAAAAATAAGTTTACAATTTTATCTATTGTATAAACGATAAAAACTAAAGTATATTTTTTTTAAATATTAAAAATTATCTATTAATTTAATTACTTAACTTTGAAAGAGAGATTCAGTTAACACTAAGTGATAAATCCTTTTATTAAAATTATGATTACCCGTCAATTACATAGCTTACTATTAAACAAAAATTTGAAACACTTTAATAATTTTTTAAAAATCTAATATAATATGTATAATATATCAAAAACTACATTTCATCATAAATATATATCTAATTAAATAAAAAACATTATCTAGGTTAACTTATAATAGGTATAGGTAAAGTAATAAAAAATATACAATAAGACTAAAATTATAAACTTGATTGAAATATTTAATACAAATTTATCATTGTTTAGTTTATTAATCAGCAATGTCAAAAATATAATACAATTTTATTAAATGTATACAAATATAAAATGTATTAAATGTAAGATTAAATGAAATATTATCTTTTAAAATACGTGCTGTAATTCTAAAAATTTAATGTTAATTAAGACAACTTTAAACAATAAAATAAAATTAGGTTTTCTTCCAAACATTGTTTATTTATCAACATTTGTGTAAACATAAAAATATATTTATTGTTACATTAGTTTATAAATTATAAAAAATCATTATCAAAAGCGAATCATTATTCAAAATTGATAATAAAACCTATTTACTTATAAATTATATATTAAATCATTATTTTTTTATTGATTTTTGAATCCAAATAATTGTTTGTTTTGAAACATCAGATAAAGCAATGTTTAATGAAGTTGGAGCCAAAAGTCGATAACAGCCCCAAACGGCTAAACCGATAAATGTGTATTTAATTGATTTTTTCACTATTTTTGTTGTCAGTGATGTCTCTGGAAGTCTAATATATAATGAAATTAATTTTTATAAATAATTTAATTCATTAATTCATAAAAGTAAATTAATTAAAATTACTTTAAAAGTGGCGGGATTTCTTTATCGGTAACTTTTCCCCATTGTTTGACAATTCCTGGTACGTGTCCAATACCAACAACACCAACTACAGTGGCCGGTCTAGACCCTGAAGGTAGAGACATATCGGGTATTGGAGAAGCGGCTAACCATAAAGAATATGCTAAATAGGTGTCCCTCTCATTAACAAAAACATTGCTCAATGCGGGAAACTCTCCCGTCATTTCAGCCAACATTTCCTAAAAATAAAAATATTAAGTAATTTTTTAAAAATATTTAAAAATTGAGAACATATACCTCTAAAAGATCTTTTTGTTTACATTTTTCGACCTCTTCCTTACTGATCGATTCATTATTAAAAATGATACCAAACGCTAACTTTAGTTTCTGCCAAACGGTCAGCGATGATATGGCACGACGTAATGTTATGTGAACGGGTCGGTCACCCAAATGAACGACACAACCGGGAACTCGACTGGCCTTAAAAATATAAATTGAAAAAACAATTTGTTTCAATATATTAACATCACAAGAATTATTGTAAAAAAACATTTACCTCATTAAACGCGCGTCTAAACTCTCCTCCCGGAGCCATTCCTAACTGTTTAGTCAAATGGGCTGATAGACTAAGTAAAAGTACATACATAACACCCTGAACTAAGCCATACTATTTCAATAATACCGTAAGTAAAGTCATAATAATTATAAAACTTTTTTAAAAAAATAAATGCATTAAATTCTTAATATTAACTTCTTGTATATTTCGACGAATTTTTGCGATTCCCATTGTTTTTGATTCTTCAAGAATTGACTTTTCATCAAACGATAAGATACTTAAACGACTTTCGCAGAGCTCGAGAACAATGATATTGGGTTTAGTTCTTCTAATTGTCTGTAAATTCAATTAAATCAACAATTTTTAGTCATATAATTCATCTAATATTTTGAGTAAATCAATACATGGCTGACGTCTTGTTGGCTCTTTTCGCTGAAGTGTGCCGTTCCCACCAAATATACTTTTGCACCGTTAGGTCCTTCCAATACTGTGACTGTGTCTGGAAATGGTTGTGTCGACAGATCCAAGTCTTGTCCATCATTTAACTCATAAAAGTTGGACAAATTGTTTGTTTGAATATGTGTGTCGTTAATACTAACACTGGACTCCATATCTTCATCATTGGAAGTACTGATCACATCTTCTTCATCGCTTACTTCTTCATAAACCTCTTCTCTCTTTAATTTTCTATTGTTGTCACTGTCAGTATCAGAGTTGTCACTGTTTGTCACCGATTCTTCCTCATTGTGTTTGTCTATTATTTCATTAAAAAATATAAAATTTTGATGAATTGTATATTTAATAAAACATAAAATCAATTATGACATCATATATTAGCTCAACTAATAAATTAGTTTTAAAATAAATTATTAATATTTAATAATTATTTTAATTAAATTCAATGCAATTGTTTTTTTATTATATTATATATTAATAAAATAAATACCAATTATTTGCTGTTAATTACAATAAATTATTTTTAAAGTCTAAATCAAAGTTAATTAATATAATAGTCGATGACTTCAAATGGTAATAATAACGGCCACAGATGTGGACAGTAGACTAATGGCACAAACCTTTACTTTGCTTGTCATCATCGGTTAACAAGTGATGGACACCATTGACTACAATATTATCACCGCTTAAGTCGTCCTCAGCGGTGACCAAAGTATCAATATTTTTGTCACTTCCCGTCACTAACTGTCCATTGGTTTCCGTATTATGAGAAGACATCACTTAAATGTTTGTTTTGTCAACAATTATCAAATGATGCGATCAATTGGTTGATAAAAGTGATGACTGGATCAGTTGACATACAAATCATATGATTAAGTAATTAAACAATTATTTAGTTAATAGTGTTATGACTGAGAAATCAGTCAACACTTACGTAACGGTTAGTTATGTTTTGTTTGCTTTAATACTGTATTTAATAACTCATTGAACGCGTCATTCAATGCTTTAATCAAATGTTTTATACTTTTAAGTCTGACATCTATTGAATGTAACTTTTGTTGTAATAAATGTTAAAATTTGATTTAATTTATTATTAATATTCATAGTTATTGAATATCATATTTACACACCTGTAAAACAAATCAACTTATTAATTAATTAATAATTTACAAATAAATGGCTATACAGTAGTATATTTATTTAAAAAAATATTAAATTAAACACCATTTTTGTATTAATAAAATTTATTGAATTTAATAGAAATTATTAAATTTAGTAAAAATAATTTAATAGTTGACAAAATCACACAATTATTGCATTTGTTTGTAAATCCAATCCATAAAATAAACTAAATGTGTATAAACTCCGGGCAGACCTTTGACAGCACAGGGAATACCAAAGGAGACGACACCTATTATATAAGTACGGATACCCACGGTCTGGATTAATGGTCCACCGGAATCACCCTAAAAATTATTATATTAGTCTAATTAAACAAATAATGTATTACTACATAACTATAATAACAGTACATACCATACATGAGTCTTGACCACCCATACCACCGGCACAGATATGTGTTGGTTGGATATACATATATGAGCGGTAATTGTATCGACACTTTTCGCGATTCCAAATAGGAAGTGATATTTTTTGAAGCCAATCAGCACTGGGCTCTGTACTACCGATTTGACCCCAACCGGCCAATTCCGCCCAACCATTGGGATCGTGGCTGTCCTTCGGTAAACAAATAGCATTAACAATATATTTTCCCAAACTATTGGTCGTAAAGATAACAGGAGTTTTCAATAAAATAATTGATAAGTCGTTGACTTGTTTTTGTTTATCCCAACCCCTGTGAACAACAAACTTCTCGGGATATAACACTTGACCCGTTTCTTCCCATCGATTAATACCGGCTTTTATTATAACTCGACTTTCTTTACCAACTAAGCTATTATGTCATTAATATTGAATTAAATTTTGTTATATTTAAGACTAAATTAATATCAAATCTACCTTTCAGTACAATGTGCGGCCGTAAGTATATAATATCTGTTGATAATAGCGGCCCCACAAAAATGTCTGCCATTTGTGCCATATTTAATAATTTGAAGACTTACAAGCCATGGATACTCGTTTGGTTCTGCATCTTCTCCTGTCATATATTGATATAATTATAAATAATAATTAGGAAAACCATAATGTGATCAAACCTCCGACAATTCTTCCCAAATGTGATGAATCTAATTGTGAATTCACATTCAGACCACCAACTTGTGTCTTATATCTGAGACCACAATGTGATGGCGAGTCATACATGTTGTCATTGAAGGTTTTTATTACAGATTCGCTTTGATTAGTGTCAATACTTTCGCTCAGTTCTGAATAAGACCTGATCTGTGGCTTCTCAAAGGTATTATCATACTCTTCATCCATATATTTGTTTTCATTCACTGTATGTCTGTTGGATCTAATAGATGATCCAAATCTTCGCATACATAACTCGATACAGCGTTGAACACCAAAACATCGTTCATAACAACTAACAGAATGTGTGGAATGGATCCAATGGTCACATCTTATGACAGAATTAAAGACAATTGAAGACAAAACTATTTTTATACAAATATATAGTATTCGTGACATATTTGCTAATTAATTGACATAAAATCACCATTTTATCATATTTTTAATTAATATAAGTTTGCTATAATTCAAAATACATTTCAATATAATTTATATTATATGTGCGAATTTCTAAATAACATTTCATTTTTATAATCTAATTATACTAGGCTAATTAATATTTAACCAATTTAAACAATTAAAAATTTAATGTAAAATATTATTATTAACTAATAATAATTAATAATAAAGTAAGCATAAGTTAAATTTTTATTAACATATTTTATTAATGTTATAGAAAATGTTACATATATTCATAATGTCTATCCCTGATGACCCTGACCTTTCGATAATAACTTGCCCAATACAGCACCGGTAACATTGATGAAGTTATTAATAACCGACAATAACCCGGGTACTTGCGATAATAAGGTTCCCAATAGAGAGTTAAGGCCTTTGAGACTCATAAGGCACTGGACTATTGTGACCACTGTATTGAGCAGTTGAGCCAAAGAAGACAACAAAACATATAATATTGAATTAATTACATTTTCTCCGCCATCGATACGAATGTCACCATTATTTCTGTTATCGATTTCTTCGGGTATAAAAACTTTTGATTAAATAAGACTAAAAATAATAACATTTTAGACGAAACTACACAAAAAACTTCATTTACCTAAAGATTGGTTGTTGTTTTCTTCACAATAAATGGTTTGCAAAATTGAAACACCAATTGCCAGATAAAAAAATAATTTCATTTTTTTTTGTTAACTTTTAATTTTGTTGTAAAAAAATTGAAAAACAAAATATATTGTAATTTAAAATTTTTTGCTTTGTCTTTTTATACCCTAATTAATAATTTTAATCATATGCTACTTAAAAGTGTTTAACAGTTTTTTGGGGCCAATATTCTCTATTTTTTAAAATAATATAATAATTTATTTCAACTGTTAAAACGATTCATTGCATTTGTTGCCATTAAATTTATTTTGCATTATCTTTTAAATTACACAAATTAACAAAAAATACATTAATATTTTTATGTATGTTGTATTAATTAAATAATATATTTTAATAAATATGTTTTAATATAAAGTATTAAACTGTTAAATATTTTTTAATAATTTTTTTATAAATCTATACTAACATTATAATATATATATAAATTTAATAGAACTTATTAATACTGATAAATAAATCTATTTATAAATTAGAGTATATAATATACCTTTAAAATAAGTGTCCTAAAAATTGATAAATATATAAAAATAAAAAATTGATTATCCAGTCAAAGGTGCTAATACTTGGCCAATAACAGCCAACAAATTATTAAGGACTCCAATAACTCCGGGCAATGCATTTGTGAATACATTTCCGAGCACTGAGTTAAGTCCGTCCAAAGTTAATAGACATTGGACTATAGTGACCACTGCATTCAATAACTGAGCCAATACGGTGACCACTAAAACAACCAATGCGTTTACTAGATTACCTAATGTACCGGCACATAGACATGAGCTAACAGCACCTCCACCTCCTTTATCGTTATGTTTGCCAATTATTTTTCGCACATCTACTGAACCATATTGTCCTGTCGGAGGAGGAGATTGACTTTCACCTAAATTTTGTGATCAATTAATTTAAATATTTATAAATTCTTGAAATTTTAATTAAATGTAAAATTACTTGAAGAACTAGTTGTTTCAGTTATAATATTATTATCAATTGTATCAATAGTTTCATTGGTTTGACAATTGACTACAAATAAACATAAAGACAAATATATTATTAATGAATTCATTTCAATGTTTCATTAGATACAAACTCATTAGTATTAAATGTAAATTTAATTTATACAAAGTATTTATTTAATAATATTATTCCGGGCATATATTTTATGGTAATTTTATTTATTTATTAAAAATATATAGTAAACACATTTTCAACAAAATTTAATAAAATATTTGAATAAAAATAAAATTTAAATACAATGAACTTTGAATGCATAAATTTTTTACAATTATCTTATTAATACATGAATCTATTAATTTATCTGTACATGAATTATTGTAATTATTATAAAATTAGTTAAAAATACATTAAACTGCTAATGTATAGCTTATATAAAATAAACATTATTACAAAATTTTTAACTAATTTCTATTGACTAATTGACTAATTTTAGTTAAATTGTTATTATTAAACTTTAAATTTTAGCCAAAAGTTTTGTTTTATTTTAATGAGATCGGCATCATTACCTAAACCTTATCATTGCTAAATAAGATTGGAAAATATAAAATTAACTACAAATAAAATATTTGATTTAATATATCACTTCAATTTGATAAAACATAAGTGTCTAATAATTACTTAAAAATATTTTCTTACGGTAATACTAATATTATACATTTACGTATAAAGCATTGATAAATAAATTTATCTTAAATGGAAATTTATTTTTATATTTTAATTGTTACTAACCTTATTCTTATTAATATTTATCTATTTTATAAAAAATAATCTTAAGGATTTAATTTTACAATAATAACTAAACGACTGTTAATTTCACATATATATAGTGATAATTTTTTATAAATTAGTGTATAAAAGTAGGTACATTAGTTATAATTTAAACATTATTAGTTTTAAAAGTTTATTTAATATACAATATTTATAATGTTAGGCAAATTTATACTATTTTATTTGATTAACTATATATTTGCTGATTATTTGCCATTAGATGGAAACCAGTGGACAGCAATTAATCAAAATAAATGTTATTTATTTATTTATTAATAATTTTAATAATGAAGTTTAATTAAATATTATTTTATATTTTAAAGCTATTACAACAAAAGCAAGAGTTCCCGGTTCTATATATTCTGATTTAAGAAATAATGGTCATCTCAAGGAAGGACTTCTTGTAGGTTATAATGATATCAACTATAGATGGGTTGCAAGAGATAACTGGACTTATGAGCGATCATTTGATGGTTTGCCTAAATATTTGTAAATTAATATATAAATATATATTTAACTAATTTTAATATTCAATTAAACAGTTGACTCAAAATTATTAAGTAAACAAGTGGTTAATTTAGTAGCCCATGGCCTGGACACTGTTAGCAACATATATATCAATAATAAAAAAGTTGGACAAAGTGTCAATCAATTTGTCAGATATAAGTTTGATGTTAAGGACGTCCTTAAAGTGGGCACTAATACCATACGTGTGGAGTTTGAGTCGGCCCTACATTATTCAAGTCGTATATCTAAATGGCATTTTGATACATATCATTATGAAATAGTAGGAGGTTTGTAGCAGTATTTATCTCCATAAGCTGTGTTAAGTATATATAATATATAAAAACTAATTTTTATAATTGTTATAAAAGAATGTTTCGCAAAGGAATATCACGGCGAGTGTCACAATCATTTCATCCGCAAAATGCCGTCATCTTATAGCTGGGATTGGGTCGGTATTTGTCTTATTATTATTTTTTACATATTTGTCATCTTTTTTTTATTAATACTTAAATTGTTTTATTAGGGACCGGCATTTCCAACGGTTGGTATTTGGAAATCCATTGGTATTGAAGCTAATGATAAGGCAATCATTAGAGATATTACAGTTGTGACGACACCCGACAAAACAAGTGGCACTCAATGGACTCTTTCATTAAAAGCATTTATAGAGTCGGACTCTCGTAAAAAAATTGACACTAAAATATCGGTGTCATTGGATGATCACTTGCTAATCACTGACCAAAAACACAGTCTTACGCCGGCAAGTGATGGCACAGTTAAAGTAGAGTTTACGATCCCTATTAAAGATATGACAATCATTGCTTGGTTTCCCAATGGAGTGGCAAATAATACTCAAAAATTATATAATCTTAAAGTTTCTCTCGGTTTTGATGATTCCAAAGAAATGTCAGAACAAAGCAAAAGAATTGGTTTTCGAACCATTGAAGTCATACAAAAACCGGTTAAACCTATTGGACTTACTTTTTATTTCCAAGTAAACGGTATACCCTTTTATGCTAAGGGAACCAATTGGATTCCGGCCAACAATCTTCAAGAGGATATTACACCAGAATATTTACGTGAACTCATGGAATCGGCACATAAAGCCAACATGAATATGATGAGGGTATGGGGTGGAGGTGTCTATGAGTCCGATTATCTCTACCAATTGGCCGATGAATTGGGAATTATGATATGGCAGGACTACATGTTCGCCTGTTCATTATATCCATCGTATCCCCAATTCTTAGAAACAGTAGATCAAGAAGTACTGACACAAGTAAGACGTCTACAACATCACCCATCCATTGCCATTTGGGCCGGTATTTAGTTTGATTGTATTTTTCAAAAACAATTTATTAATTTACTGTATATACCATTATTAGGAAATAATGAAAATGAAGTTATGGTTAGATTAGGAAAGAAAGAGGACTTTGAACGCCATAAAAAAGATTACATTGAACTCAATATCAATCACATCCGCAAAATAATTCTTGAAGAAGACACGACTCGAACTTTTGTTGGTTCGAGTCCTTCCAATGGTGACGAAGAGATTAAAGAAGACTGGATTTCAAAACATTCAAGTGATGAACGTTATGGTGACACACATTACTATAATTATGACCGACCTCTTTGGGATTGGAAGATCTATCCAAGTGGTAAATTTGCCTCAGAATATGGATATATTTCCTATTCATCAATCGAGACATTCTTGACTGTACTCAATGAAACCGACTTAACGTTTCCAATCAGTGATGCTATGGAGCACAGAGAGCATCATCCGGGAGGCACTAAATCTATTGAAAAAGAAATTGGTATTAAAAGTTTATTAGATTTTTTTAAAAAAAGTTTTTTATAAATTTTTAAAAATATATTTTATTTTAGGTTATTATTTTAATCATCCATCACATGGAGGTATTGAGCGATTTAATGATTTGGTATACTTATCACAAGTAATTCAAGCAATGGCTATGAAAATTGAGACAGAGTTTTATCGGCGAAACCGTCAAATCGATGAAAAGACTGGTAAGGGTAATACAATGGGTGCTCTTTACTGGCAGATCAACGACATATGGCCGGCACCGACCTGGGCTTCCATCGAGTTCGGCGGCAAATGGAAAATATTACAGTCTTATGCCATCGATTTCCTCAAGAATAATATTGTCAGCGTTTATGAAGACAATAATCAAACACTTAAAGTATAATCTATTTCTTTGGAATTTAATTATTAATTAAAGTATCAATTATTAATAGATTTCATTAATTCGAGACGATTATGGAGGGAAAGAAGTTTTTGATTTATCTCTTAAAGTTTATAAGTGGTCATCAAATAAACCGGTTCAGGAGCTCATTGCCAAATGTCAAAGCAATCAAGGCTTCTCAGCTGAAGTACTATTTTCGCATTCAATTCCTGATTTGTTGACCAAATCTGGTTGTGCCGACCGAAGTGAATGTGTTGTCAAAGTAGATATTCCTCACTTTCAGGTATTTTATTTTAAAATAATCAATTTAAAAAAATTGGGTTAATATATTAATAATTTACATTTAAAAAGACATCGAGTTTTATGCTATTAAATGAACCAAAAAACTCGAAATTAGTTAAACCAAACATAAAGTTGGTTTCAGTGAAGAGAAAATCACATTTAGATGATAAACAACAAGTGTTTGACATAACTCTTTCCAGTGAAGCGATCGCACCATTTGTTGGATTGGATTTTAAATTAAAATCTGGAATAAAAGGAAATTTCATTGAAAACGGATTTTTCATATTTGACGGAATGAAGACAATCACATTTGAGACCAAATCTAATGTTACCGAAAAACAAATCAAAGATAATCTGCTATTTAAAACAGTGACTGATGTGTTGTAAATGTTATGAAAAAATATTCATTTCAATAAAATAATTACAGTATAATTTTCATATATAATTAATAATTATTAATTATAAGTAAAACATCAATTTTACTACAATATTTTCAACAAAATTTAATTCAATTAATGTAAAAAATAACTCAATAAAAATATCAATCAAACTTTAATCATTTTAATGTAAAATTTTAAAACAAATCAAAGTTATTGTCAAAAATTTTTAAGCATATTATTATCTAAAAAAGGAAATTGCGACAAATATGTATAATTTAGTTAATTAATATCACAAACAAGTAAAACATATTATTATTATTACTACTTGTAATTGACTTTTGGATTCCACGCGTATTCCTTGTTATTCAAATCAAAAACATTGATTTTAGCGATGAAGACATTTTGGAGCAATTGTTTGTAGCAATCGCTACAACTGTATTCACATCCATCAATAATATCTTGTTTCTTGAGCTCACAATTGCACCAAATAAGACATCCATTGAGTTTAAGTTGATTACAATTAGGAAATTGTTGTGAAAATTCTTTAAATAAGTCAGCGAATAGCGGACCAGTTATCTCAAGAAATTCGACATCTTTTGCCAAATATTTAATAATTTCATTCCAATCATCAGTCGCTTCTTTGATCAAAATTGACAATTTGTTTGATTCCTTGTCGTGTATAAAACATTTGATCTCTTTGTCTCCAATGTTGACAGCTCTCAAATGCTGTAAATTGGGTAATGATTCATAAATAGCATGAATTATTGACAAACAATTGTAATTATTGATTAAATCAATGAATAAAAACTGAATTTCTGAACTTTTCATTTGTTTTAGACTATAAAATGCTTGAGGTGTTAGTCGATCACAATTTTCAATTGAAAGACTATATAATTTTATACCAATTCCTTGAAAAACATGTTTCAAGTCTTGAATACAATCAGATATCACGAGTTCTTCGAGAAGAGGAAACGATGAAACCATTGTTGAGAGACTTTTCCATTCGTTTAATGTATTGCCCGCATATGAAAAGTGAGTTATTTTGGCTATAAATGTATGATTATATCGTTAAGTAATCTAATTTTTAAGTTAATATCAATTATATGTTTTGTATATAAAGATTATCTGTAATATTGATAAACTGTTTAATACTTACAACAAAGTGATCGCATAAATTTGGGCCAATCAGTCCTTAAAAGACCTTCAATGTTAACAAATCGCAAACAAGTAATATTAGGACAACTATTTATCAGCCATTTAAGCGCAATTGTGTCAATACGACAGTTGGCCACATGAAGACATTCAATTGATTCCATCGGACGTATAATTGGCGCCAATTTTTCGATATTTTTCAAATATATGCTACCATTTGGTTCTCTGATAGCGTCAGTCAAATCATTAAATTCATTTGACTTATGATTTGGATCACTACAGGTGACACTTGGTTTGATACCAAATGTTATAACTTTTTGGTATTTAAGCATCGATTTAACCACACTTTGCCACAAAGTGCAAACTCTTTGTATAGAAAATAATTGTTTCATCGGTAAGTAATCAAATATTTGTGCCAACAAGTCTTCATATATCTCACTGATGGTTACGTCGCTAACATAATGTGATACTTCTTCGACATTTTCAACTGTTGGTGACAATGACTTCTCTAAATTACTGGTTTGTTGAAGATTTGAATTAATGTTTGGGACCAACTGTGACACAAAATCTTTACTTTTATTACAAATGTCTTGTTTGTGTTGTGGCTTAGAGTCTAAATTGTCTTTATTTTGATTCAACCAATTAATGACTTGCCATTTGGCAGTCGTGACAATACTAATCTTTGGATTAAAACCCGAACAGTTGTCGGCAATATTTTCGGTCACTTTACTCATATTTCGTCGAGCTTTTGACACATTAAGATAAAAACCATTGAATGGATAACCATTGGTGGCTTTGATGGCCTCATCGGCTGATTTGATCGTATCGTAAGTAACGAAAGCCACGGGTTGTGTGTCGTTGGCGTTAATCTTAACGTACTTTACATTACCGTAAAATGAAAATAATTTCTTCAATGAGTTGACATCGCATCCAACGGGCAATCCTTTAACAAATACTACATTATCTTGAGTTACAAACTGTGAAGACATTGTTGTCTGCATTGACTATCGATCAGATCCACAGACACTCAACAGTTGTTTAAATTTCAAATTTTCTGACAAACTATTTGTTTGTTTGACTAAACATTTCAAGACATGCGTCACAACAGTCATGTGAAACATATGTTAAATGAAACAATTATTTGGGACTTTTATATACAATCAAATTACACATTCAATTGTATTAATATACAAATTATAAAACGTTACACATTAGCCATGAAATAAATATTTTTTAATAATAACTTGTTTACAGTAATACTGATAGTATTGACTGTATATTATAAGCTCCGCCTCTAAGGTCTCAAACATTAAGTGATTGTGTGAACTGTTTGTCTGTTTTGCCATTAAATCGACAATAATTTTGGTTTCAATTGTTATTCAAATAACATTATAACCACTTCTGAAACATAACAACAATAACAATGCAATCAATTAGTAGACAACTTATGGGACAAACGTTACGAACGGCATTATCGACGACGACTGGCCATCGATTATCGTCCACTTCATCTTCATTTCAATTAAAACCCTTTAAATTACATAAATTAGAGGACAAAGGACCCGAAACGGAAGTGATTCTGACCAGAGAAGATGCTCTCGTGTTTTACCGACAAATGGTTACAATAAGACGTATGGAGGCCGCGGCCAATGCTCTCTATAAAGACAAATCTGTTCGCGGGTTTTGTCACTTATATTCAGGACAGGAGGCCGTAGCCGTCGGTCTTGAGAACTCTATTCGGTAATTATTATAATGTTTTTGTCGCTTATAAATCATAATTGTTTATGAAATCCATAGTAAAACTGATGCCGTAATTACCGCATATCGAGCTCACGGCTGGACGTGGATTCGTGGCGTATCAATGGTTGGTGTTTTAGCTGAGCTCACTGGTCGTAGATCTGGTTGTGCCCGAGGAAAGGGTGGATCTATGCATATGTATAATAAGGTACTCATATACTGATGTTTTTGTATGATTTACTATAATTTATAACAAGTGATGACAACATCCTTGCGCTCATCGATGCTCTTCATTGGAAGAGCTGTGAAGAAAAATTTTGGGCTTATGTCTGATATTTGTATTGAAATTGATTTTTATTTTTTATGTTTTATGAAATTTAATATGATTTTACAATTTGTTTTTATGTATCAGAATTTTTTTGGTGGTAATGGTATAGTTGGAGCACAGGTACCATTAGGTGCCGGAATAGCATTGGGACAAAAATATAAAGGAACTGATGATGTGACATTAGCACTTTATGGCGATGGAGCTGCTAATCAGGGACAAGTGTTTGAGGCATATAATATGGCAAAATTGTGGTCATTGCCGTGTATTTTTATTTGTGAAAATAACGGCTACGGAATGGGCACTTCAGCTGAAAGAGCGGCCGCCAGTACCGACTACTATACTCGTGGAGATTATGTGCCCGGTTTGTGGGTCGATGGCATGGATGTGTTGGCGGTAATCATGATTTGTTGTCATACACTGGTATATATCTACTATTCTTGTTGTTATTTTTTGATAGACTCGTGAGGCCACTCGATATCTGGTCAATTTGTGTAGGAAAGGCAAAGGTCCATTTGTTATGGAAGTGGCCACATATAGATATCACGGCCACAGTATGTCTGATCCCGGCACCAGTTATAGAACACGTGATGAAATACAAGAAGTGAGGCAAACGCGTGATCCCATCACATCGTTTAAAGATAAAATTATTAACTCTGATTTGGTCACATCAAATGAACTCAAAGATATTGATAATCAGATTAAGAAAGAGGTGGATGAGGCCACACTTGTAGCCAGAAATGATCCAGAGTTAGGCATTGAAGAGCTGTACGGAGATGTTTACGCCAAACCACTTGAAGAGCAGATACGAGGAATTACACCATTCACTCAACACAAACATTTAAAAGTCAATAATCCGCATAATATTAGATTATAATATTGTTGTTAATATGATTTGTTATATTTTATTAATTAGGTTTATCTAACATTTATTTATAAAATTCGTTTATATTTTAAATATGAGTTATATATATGAAGTAAAGTAGTATTTATGATAAAATTAGATCTGTAAAAATGTAAAATTTATTAAATTAACAATTTTATTCTCAACACTCTTAACTGTCCATAAATAATAGTAAATAATAAATGCCGGTCCATTTCATACCAGTGCTAGGATTATTCAAAATGTTTTTATTATAAGTTATAATTTATAACAATAAAATTAGTAATAGAGTATACTGTATATTCTCCTTAGTATACGGTTTTTTCATACAATTTTTATATCAATTCAACATTAAAAGTTTTGCAATATTTTTAAATATTGTCTAAATTTTGTTTTGTGTTACAAAAATATTTTTTGTTTTAACCCGACGGTGGAGTTAAATAAAATTAATTATACTTAATATTTATAAAATCATACAATATTTTAATTGTTTTTTAAATAAATTATTACACGTGTTTTACTCATGTATTCTATGTATTAAATATTCTCAATTTGAATCTCAAATCATACATTGAATTGAAATCTTATCATTTATTTTGTAAGATTAACATTAGGCTTATAGATGTTAGGATACTAAATGTTAAGATTTGATATTACTATCAATTTTCACAAATTCAAAATCAATGTTAAAACTGTCTAAAAATTGTTATTATTTATAAATAGTAGATTAAAATTTAAGCTATAAAATTGAGGCATAATTTTTAAATATTGTTAAAATAAAACATTTTTGTCATATAAATGTTACGTCACATATGATGTGTTGTGTGGGCACCTATAGCTCAGCTCAGGGATTATCAAATATTAAAAATAATTACCGGTAATACATTGTAAAATTAACAACTAATAACCAATAAACAACTTATAAGGTTAAAAAAACAAATGTTATATTAAATTGTATATTGAGTAGTATATAATATAATACTATAATACTTATAATATAAATTTTAACTAAAATTATTTTTAAACATTTTTATGAAATTTTAAGCAAAATATTTTAGTTTTTGGTAATATTTGTTGTTATAATTAATATAAAATATATTTTCATTTCTAACGGTGAAGTGAAGGTAAATAAAATATTTTCCGGAAAATTGGAGGAATTTTTTAGGCAACTTTCCTTTCTGGGAATTTTCATCAAACTATAATTATAGGTAATATACAGTTCTATAGTATTAATATTAATATTAATGTACAGTAAATACAGTATACAATTGAGTACAACATATGCTGTAATGACAACAATGTTGTTATGATATCATTAATATTATTATTATATGAAATGGTATTTAATTTTAATATTTATTGATTTTTATGTTAATTTATACGAAAAAATTATTATTGATTATCACTACATGTGGTCTCCAAGACATGAATAACACATAAATGGTTTGTTTGAATATCAATCGACAGACCATAACTTGAATGACAACCACAACAACAACAATGTGTTATATTCATCGACTTTATACAACCATTTCATTGATTTTCATCAAATCTTTATTATCACCCATTTGTTGTCATCCGATACTAATAGTCATATCGTTTGATGGCTTCAGAAATGATTACGTGAGACCCGATCTCACGCCACATATGTTTAAATTAGCCAACAATGGTGTCAGAGGTCTGTAATTATTGTCATTGTTGAAGACTATCATAATTTGTAAACTTCTTGATGATTATCAGCTCACATGAGATCGTCATTTGTGACGAAGACGTATCCCAACCACCAGACGATAGCCACCGGTTTTTATGAAGAGTTTCACGGAATCATTAATAACGAGATGTTTGATCCACTCTATAACGAGACATTCAATGTCGACAATTCATCAGACATTTGGTGGAATGAGAGTCCAGTGATTCCCATTTGGGTACCATTTCTGTACAGTTTTTTTCTAAACTAATATTTTTATTTATTTATTTATATTTTAATTACTGGTGAACTGTTTAGATTGCTAATCAAATGGTAGATCCAGTTAACAGATTTAGCGCATCCATGCAATGGCCTGGAAGTCAAGTCGTCTACAAGAATCATGCGATCAAATATCGACAAGAATGGAACGATACGTTGACATGGAATAAAAGGATTGATATTATTATTAAATGGATGACCGATAGCATCCCGACCGCCAACTGTGTGTTCGCTTATTTTGATGAACCGGACACCACTGCCCACGAATACGGACCTTTCGGTGATGAAACTATCGAAAAGGTCAGAATAGCCGACCAAACAATCGGACATTTGATCAATAGATTAGAGCAGAAAAGATTATTAAGCAAAACCAATATAATCATACTTTCAGACCATGGAATGGCTGAAGTCAAGTATGTATAGTTAGAAATATATCAAATTTAGGATAATTTGTAATTATAAATATATTTATAAGATCTGATCGGGTGATCAATTTGAATACATTTCTGGATCCTGATTTGTATCACATATACGGTGCTTCACCTGTTTGGTCCATTGAACCGAAACATAAATATGAAGAACAAGTTTACCAGACTTTATTAAATGCCTCAAAGACTAAAAATTTTACAGTTTATAAACGCGAAGATATTCCAGAATATTTACATTATAAGAAACACAGAAGAATATTATCCATATTTATTGTAGCCGACGAGGGATGGGATATCTATAAGAACATGACGTGGACTCCCAAAGGTATATATAATTTATTAGTTATGTTTCAGTTAATATAATAAATATTTATCAATTGTAGGCATCCATCAGTGGGGAAATCACGGCTATGATAACAGACTCGAGTCTATGCGACCACTGTTTATAGCGAATGGACCGACATTTAAATCCGGTTATAATCACACAAAACCATTTGTAAACGTAGATCTGTATCCATTAATGTTATACGTATTGCAATTATATCCTACAATACAATTTCCGAGCAACGGCTCATTGACCAACATATGGGATATACTGATACCTCCTATTTATGCGGATTCTTATGATAGTTCTGCTCAAAAATGGTTTAATTGTAAGACATTTTTATATCTAATAATTGATTTAAATAATAATTAATTAATTTTTTTAATGAAATATTTGCTAATATTTTAAAATTTAGTTATTTTTTACATTTTTGGTGGATTTGGTATTTTATTCTTTGGAAGTGTTTGTCTCATATGTTCGACAAATATCGGCAAATCTGTTCGCAGTCGTCGGTCAACAGACGTTGTTTGGGAGTCATTGGGTTCGGGACTTGATATTGATTTGCGTTCACATTTGGATCCATCAGTTAATGATTTCTCAAAGTCTTTTGATGACGACATCATAAGTCGTGCCAATCGTCTTCAAAAGCCAGAGGAGACACTTCTACTTCTTGAAGATAGTGATGAAGAAGATCTGTGATAATTATTTTACAGTTGAATATAATTGGGAAACACTTGTCTTGTATTGATTGCCAACAAAACCATTGGTAAAAAAATTCTATGACATTAACTCATATATTGTATATAATTATCCGATAATATATTTGTTACTATCTTTAAGACACGTGAATCTCAATTATATTTGATTATATTTTTTTAATTTATAAATCATCAAAACAAACATGAAATGCCGTTATTTTTATAGCTTATTTAAATGCCATCCATTTATAAATTGATTATCTAGTTAAATTTTTGATTAAAATGGGACACAAAAAAACAAAATGCATTTGATATTAAGATTAAAATAATAAATTGACATATATTATTATAACAATTATGTAAATATTTATATTAATTATGAAATATTAATGTTATAAACAATTATGTAATCTTTATTTGCTTATAAAAATGATAAAAAATAAAATGCAAATTAATTGATTATCAGTGTAAAATAAATGTACTCAATAATTATTTTTAAAAATTTAATTTGATGTTTTTTAGGATAAATAATGAGAAAAATGATGTTTTTAAAATTTTTTATTATATGATGATATCAATGATTTAATGAATTTCTAGTCTTAACTTTTATTAAATGCAATATTGAATTTTATATTAAATTATTTAATATTATTTAAACAAATAAAATTATTATTAACTTGTATTGTTTAAATGGATACTGTATAACCTTAACTTTTTTATTTTTATTCATTTTATGATAGTATACAAACTAAAATAGTATTTTTAAATATAGTACGATATACTGGTATATAAAAATGTTATATTATTTATATTATATATTTGATTAAAAGTTTTTAAATTATATCCTTCCTTATTGATAAATACAATTTATTGATTTTATACAATTTCCTTAAAATTATATAGATATTGATATATTTAAAGTGAATTATATTATAAATTTTAAACATAATATTCTTTTAAAATATTTTTATAAGCTAAAATTATATAATTTATATATTTATAAATATTTTAAGTTAAATAATATATATATATATATATATATATCAGGGTTAAGCAAGGTTTTGGATTTTATACCGGGGTAAAATTTACAAAATTCTCGAAAAATCTTGGGGGGGGGTATTGGGTGGGGTAAGATTTTTATTGCATTTTTAAACGGCAATTTTTTCAAAAATCCAAAATCAACTGGCGGGGGGGGGGGGGGGGGGGGGGGGGGGGGGGGGGGGGGGGGGGGGTCAAGAGAAAATAATATTCCCTTAAATTCCCGAATATTCCCATGTAAATTCGATAAAATTCCCATAAGTTCCCGTATAAATTCCCAGGAAAATAGGTAAAATTTACAAAAATACTAAAAAAAACTTTAACAAAAATAAAAAAAAAGTTAAATTTTAACAAAAATAAATATTTTTAAAAAAAAATTTTAAAAATTAATAAAAACTTAAATTTTAGCAAAAAATAAAATAATAATGTATTAAATACTTAAAAATAGGTGATAAAGGCATTAATGATACACTGAGTTTTTTAGTATTTTAGTAATTTTTAACTTTTAAAATAATTTTTTAAATAATACTTAATGCTTATAGTTTATAGATATATATTTTTATTTTTTAATGTTATTTTTATGTAAATACTGATTGAATACTAATTATAAAATTAAAAATATTTTAAATTTTTTAGTTAAAATTTTAAAAATTATTAATAAAAACCTTGTAATATAAGTATTTATTTTTTTATTAACTTCTTAAACTATCTCAAACTTCTATTTATATTGTAATATGATTATTCTTTTCAACAAATTGGTATTTTTTAACTTTTTAGTTTAATATTTTAAGTAAAATTATGTTATTTTTTGATGAGTTTTAACGTTATTTTAACTTTTTTACTTATTTTTAATCAATAATTAGAATCATATAAATTTTAAAAACATAAAAACACTTACTAAAATAGTATTAACTAAAATTAAAATTTTTATAAATCTCAAAAAAATTTTCGGCGCCTTCGGCGCCGAAATTTTAGGGGGGTCATTTCTCCTCGTTTTTAAGCGACAATTTTTCCCATTTGGTCAAAAAGTCTGGGGGGGGTAAAATCCCAATTTCTCGATCTTAGGGGGGGTATTTTGGCCTTACCCCCCCCTATATATATATATATATATATATATATATATATATACTAAATAACATCAATAATATACTGTATGCTTATATAATTTGTAATTGTGATTAATTATTATTATTATCTTGAAAATTAAGTATTCATCATTTAATTAGCCCGGCGGCTATGAAAACAGAGAATTTATAATTTAAAACATATGTTGTTTACGTACATTAATCACTTATAAGTTAAAAGTAAAATTTGGGTCAAAGTTAGAGAAAAAACAATATTTAATGAGTGTTTAGTTTTCTTAATAAAATAAAAACAATTATTGTCTGGATTTCTGGTTCGACTACTTTTTGTTTCAAACATTTTTCACAACTAAAAGTGCAAAACATTTTAGTGCAAACATTTAGTGTGAAAACTTTGGTAAATACCATATCAGGTATTAATTAATAATTAATAATTCATAGGAAAAGTTTTTTTTTATTTGGGAGGTGTGGCGAACATTAGTTATAACATTATTGTATTTCAATTTATATGATTTTTCTTTCATAACCAAAAAGATGAGTTTTGCTACTATTATAACATTTTTGTTACCAATAATATCGGTGTCCTATTGTCAGCGCTTTCTATACGGTAGAGAATCTCCTTATATTTCCGGACAGTTATATCGGACGCAAGCATTTAAACCATTAAAAGCAGTGTCAGTCCTGACTGGCAAAGATGTAAACGGTGTCATCAACTTTGAACAAGTGGTCTGTATTTTCTTAAATATCAAAACTTTTTAAATATTATATGAATTTCAAATTTTTTGTAAAATTTAATTTTACGAATTACAACATTTAAGAAATTATGTCATAATATTATTATAATTACTAAAAAATACTTGATTTTGAAATACACTAATTATTGAAATTAGATTAACCTTTCAGTTAATTTTTAAAAGTAATAACATTTGTCGCAATTAACAAATAATTATTATAATTAGTAAAATGAAATTTATTAATAGTATTTATTATAATTATAATAATAATTATCAGCAAAATTTTTAAATAATTGTTTAATTAGGGTTATGATAGGGTACGTGTGGTCGGCAAAATTGAAGGCCTATCTAAAGGCCCGCACGGCTTTCATGTCCACCAATTCGGTGATGTGACCAAAGGATGCGGAAGTACTGGAGGACACTTTAATCCACACAATCGAGAACATGGATCTCCCGATGACTTTAATAGACATGTCGGCGATTTAGGCAATATTTTTGCCGACGATAACGGTGTTGCAAACATAGATATTCAAGACTATTACCTTACACTTAATAACGGACCTAATTCTATAGTGGGTCGGGCAGTTGTGGTCAGTTTTTTGGACAAAATATTAAATTATTTCAATTAAATTATCAATTTTTTATGCAATTTTTAGGTTCACGAAAATGTCGATGATTTAGGTCGCGGAGGACACGAACAAAGTAAATCTACCGGKAATGCTGGCGGACGGGTGGCCTGTGGTCTCATTGGATGGGCTAATGAAAAGGCTTGAATTAAGACACCTATTSTAATACACTGTTAAATGACATGTATTTGAAAATTTACTATAAGGTAATGTAATGTAATGTAATGTACAATATATTTAATTATCATTATTATAAACTACACTATACTGTATAGGGCTATACTATAGGCTATATATATGTTTACAATATATAGTAAATGTGTTTAAATGAAATTTTTAATTCATTATTAATTATGATAATTGTCGAGTATATAAATACTCATATTTTTATATTTCTAAAAAAATTATTGTATTATTTATTACTTTATTAATATTACTGTATATATATACCAATATTTATTTGAATAAATTATTACCGGTTAGTAAATTTATAAATCGGACATTTATTTAATTTATATTTTTAATTAATTAATGATAACATTATTGAATGAAATATAATAATAATCACAAAATATGTTGATGATTTATTTGTATATTATTTATATTTAATTTGAATATTCAATTATATAGAAAAACTAGATTTACTATTTGAATTAAATTAGAAACTAAAAATTATAAAATAAATTATAAGACTAATAATTGACAAAATATATAATAAACAATAAATTATTATAAATTAAGTTACATTTATACAATGAATTACGGTATAAGTGATTTAATAATAAACTAATAAAAATTAGTTAAATCATTTAAATATAAAAAAATTAAATTCAATAAAAATGACCACAAAATCATGTATTGTTAACATTAATTGATTCATTCGTCACTAATGACTCCACATTTTCACTCATGTGTTCATTGATTGCATTATTTGAATAATTATTTTCATTATTATTATTATTATCAAAATTATCTGAATTATGAATAACATCATTGTTTTCAGCAATAAATTCCGGTTTAATCGATGGACTATTATTCATGTTATTTGTTTCATCCAATGTCGTCGTCTCCACAACATTTGAATTGTCATTTTTATCCCAATTATTGTCATTCATTTGTTTGAGATAATTGTTACCTTCATTTGGACCTTCAGTCACTATGTCGTCAATTTTCATATCTCGATCTGGTCTTTGATTATTAAAATCATTATTAATGTTATTATTATTATTATTATTTCTATTGTAATGTCTATTATCGTGTCTGTCATCAGACTTCCATCTGGAAGGGCGATCGCGACGACCAAAACCTCTATTTGTGAACTGATCGCGATTTGAACCTCTGTTTTGATTGGTGTGTCTGTCATAGTTGTGATGCCTGATATCTGGTCTCATATGTCTCGGATGGTATGGTCGTTGTGGTCTTTCATATGGAAATCGATCGTTCATAAGTTGCGGTGGCATTTGTAAAAGTCCGGCCCGACCTTTGAATAAATTACAATAAGTGTTATAACAATAATACTATTATTAATAGTTATAATTAATACCGGATGCCATTTGATGCGGTATCGGTGGTCTTAACATTTGATTTCTTTCCATTGCACGCAATTCATAAACAGATGGAGCAAATGGATCATCACTTGTATGTGAATGAGATCTTTCCAAATCAGGTCTTTCAATATTAGATCTAAACCTATCGCGTGGATTGAAATTTCTGTCCATTCGATCCATTTGTCTATCAGAATGAAGTCGTTGAAGTTCATCATGAGTTATGGGTAAATTGGGTAAAGTAGATATTAATGGTGGCCTATCTTCAGGTTTGGGAAGTGATGATCGTGATATATCTTCGGGACGAAGTGATGTTATAATTGTGTCAGTGGTAGACGTGACAACTGAAGACAATGATAGAAGTGGTGGCCTTTGAGGACTTACTGTAATTATAAGAAAGAAATAAATAATTATTATTATAACAACAACGACAACAACAAATTATTACTGTAATCGTAAATTCAATACAAATGTATGACAAACCTTGCATCCGATTAGGAAGTATAGGTGGCGGAGGGCCTGAAATCCATGGCAAACGTGGTTGGTTTCCTAACATAGGCATTGGAGGTATACTAAGGGGAGGAACAGCTTGAAATGGTGGAGGAAATAACGGGGTGTTTGATGCCGTTATGTTAGCAGTTATATTAACGTCACTTTTATTATCACTTGAATGACTCGTTTCAGTTTTCATCATTACTTCAGTTATTTCATTCTTGTCGTCGCTGTTTAACATTGGAGGCATAGGTGGCGGAGGTATTTGTGGAAATGTTGTGGTCGTAACCGCCGTTGTTATCATCGATGCTTCTGATTGTATTGGAATCACTGGAGTTTGACTCGTTATGTTCATTATACTGGTGGGCATCACAAGCCCTGGAACACCAAATGCATGGTTAGGTATTCCAACCATTGGCATCGGTTGCATCATAGCTGCCGCTCTGGCCATTAAAGCTGCCGTTTCTCTCTCTTGATCTTCTCGTTCCTTGTTTTTTCTTATTCGTATTTCTATTTAAAAATATTTTTATTTTTAACAAATTTAAATACATTTAATAACTAAGCATACCTTGCAATTTCTCTGGAACTGTATCTTCATCTACAGTTCCCCCCTCTTCTAGCAGATCTAAGTCTACATTTTCAGGTAACTTATTATAAGGTATATAACTGGCGCCTTCATCCACTTCCCAATAATCTTTATACTCTTTTCCTTTCATACCTTTGCCCGGAGCCCAAGCCATCTATAAAAACAATCATTTAGCGAAAAATAACTAATGTTTGCAATTATACTTTAATGAGACTTCCGTGAAGTTTAAGACTTTTTAAACTACTTAATGCTTTAGCCGCGTCCTGACGTCTATTCATACATACATAAGCACACCCTCGGGATGGTATTAACTGATTAAACAAAAACATCAATTAATTATGTGTCCGATTACTTACAATATTTAAAGAAATAAATTGAAAATCAAGTGACAAATCATCAAAGAATAAAAGAACAACAGAAGAATAGACAAATCAACTAAAATGTTAAACAAATTGGTGTCTCATTTACATCAATACTATTAATGGCACCAAATTCGCCAAATGTATCGCTAAGATCAGCTTCAGAGACCAGTTTAGGGACGTGACCCAACCATAAAGTAGTTGAACATATGGTAAGACATCCTTTTCTTATGGGAGGCAAACCCTTTCGTCTTCTTTCTCTTTCTCGTTCTCTTTCATAACTCTGTGGCGAACGGACCCTATCATTAAAACGTGAATTACGAGGAGATCTGCTCCTCGACCGATATGAACGTCGACCGTCGCGGTCTCGATCGCGACGACTACTACGTGGAGACCGTGATCTCGATCTATCGGATCGGTCCCGATAACGATTAAAACGTGATCTTCTTGGAGATCGCATTCGCGGGGACTGTGAACCTGACCTTTCATTAATATCCTGTTGTGGCATCTGTTGGTTATATGGTTGTCCCGTTTGGTGTATATATTGTTGGGTATCTATTATACTATTATTTAAGTTATAATTCAATTCATTCGCACGCATTTGCGGACCGAAATTGTTTGCGTTATGCAAATATTGAAAACTATTGTCATTTGCATTTAAATTGGGATTTAATTGATTGCTATCATTATTATTCTGTTTTTGATCCACAGATTCAAAATTCATATTTAAATCATTTTGTTTTCGACTCTCATCAGTATTATTATTATCACTATTAATTAAAGTCTGATTTTGTTGTGATTGTTGCTGTAGTGCCGATAAAAACTGTTGACTGCTATTTGACGACTGGCCTTCCAGTTCTGAGATACTAAGCTTCAAAAGTTCTGTTTGTTGTATTGTTTTTTGCATTTGTTGTAATTGTTGTAAAAGCTCTGGATTTGACAGCAAATTTTGAGCCATACTTATGGCCAATGGATTCGTAACGTTGTTGTCTTCGGAATTACTTCTTATTGGTGGTTCTGCCTCTGTTGGTGTATCTCCTCTTTCTTCTTCTTCTTCATCGTCGCCATAATCAAAATCAAGTAATTTCTTATTAAACTTAATTGGATTGCTTTGTGATTCTTGTTGTGTATCACTGGATGTATTACCAGATTTTGTCAAACCTAAGTTAGAAATTAAATCATGAGTTAAAACTATATTAGAAATGTTTCAAAATAATTATTAAAAAAAATGGAACCTAAAGAAGTGGCCAATTGTTGTAATTGCATTATCAAATTGGGATCTTTAATGTTTAGATTGCCATCTCTGGCCTCACGATTGGCATCTCTAACATTAGTACTCGATTGCGGCGATGAATCAAATTTCATCTGAGATAACGATGCGTTTGGATTAGCCATATCCAAGAGAGGCTGAATTGTCTCAGCGTTAAAAACATTGTTTCGTTGCCAAAGATTTAAGACTCTTACAATTTTTGGCTGTTTATGATAATAAAACAAAATAAAATATTAGCAATAATTATAATTGAAATAAAAATCTAAAATGAGTTAATACTTTGTCATCGGGAGGACACGTGAGGAATAAATTCTGAAAAGTTTGTGCAAAATTTCTGGCAAATCTCGGAGCGTAAACGTCTTTATCGGCTCCAAATTGATGTCGCGATTGACGAACAATTGAGTCAATTACATAAAGACCGGGAATCTTGTATTCTGGTCGACACTAAAGCAATGAATTGTTAATTGTTTTTAAAACAAAATATTCATTTTATTCCTTCACTTACTTTAATGATAAATCTTTCAACTGATTGGACGATATGTTTATACATTTTAATGGCTTTCATCGATACTTTCGTTATTTGAGACATTTTTGCCTTCGATATCGGCGGCCGGACCTCATATAGTGAAGACAACTATTAAGAAATAAACATCAAATGTCATTAAAGTATTCATTTATTAATACAATTATCACTATTTTCCATCACATTTAGTCAAATGATGGACAAAAAAAAGCAAAAATCATGGCTTACTTCAGCATTAAATTGTTGAACTACTTCTGTGTCGCGCGACATGTTTACAGCAGTTTTAGTGGACTCAATGGTATTCAATAACGAAGAAACCGATTAAAGACAAGCGATTGACTTCTTTGGCAAATCAATCGGTCAAATGAATCGCCGCCACAAAAGTTGATTCCCTTTTAAGATACGTTAACCGATGCTAACAGACGGTGTGACCCAATGTCGAGTGCAAAGCGACGGCAACTTTGACCGACAAAGTCTTCGTCAATATCTTGCGGTACTATAAATGGTCACCAATTGAGTCCATGTCTTGACTCTATGTCTTCATTGTTTGCAAACATTGGTTTCAATGAAAGTCTCGATTCCTTCAAAAATGGCTGCCTTTCAATAACACTGTGTATATATTCACTGTTGACTTTAATAATCAAATTGTTATTCAAATAGTCTATAAGTTTATAACGCAAACTGTACGCAGCGGTTGTTATTAGTGTACTCCAGTTAAAACAAATACAATACCTACTATTGCCTCACAATTTATATTTTATAGCTATATATCATTCAGTTGCTATGCTATACTTCTACAAACTCGATACGCATTGTGTACTATAAATGCGGTTCACATTTGTCTTTATGAATGCCGACAAATAAAAGCATTAAAAAAGATTTCAAATTATTTTTCATTATTCAAGTATTAGTTTTTATTTATTTGTTTATTGATTACAAACATTAAAAAATTGATAATTTATTGGAAATAAATCAATATATTATCTAAATTAATAAAACAAATTTATGATATATTAAAACCAATAATTTTTCAAAATAGGGAACAATAAAACCTTAAAATAATTAATAACGTTTTATTTGAATTATTTTTAAATTCATTACTATTTTATACCTCAATAATATGTGAGACATTCATATAAAGTGTAATAAAGAAAAATGTTATTAATATTGATTTTATATATAAATTATTATTAATATTCATAAGTTTTATTAAATTATTTTAATTTAGTATTAGTTGACAAATGTTTTATAAATTTAGATAACAATTGAAGTAATAATTGTTTCATATAATAAATATATCATATATTAGTAATAATAAATCAATAGTTAATAAAAAATATATAAAATATATTATTAGAGTATTGCATAACAAACAACAAACACATGACTTGAAGGCAAAAGACATTTAAAAAAATATGAATTGTTTTGCAAACAATCGTCTGATAAGATCTGGTCTTACATTAGTCTACAGACATGTCTGCAAACATTATCATCAGATGAAGACATCAAATGTAAGCCATTGTCGGTATTTGTGTCAACAAAATCAACGATTTATTACATTAAATAGTAATAATAATGACAAAAATGAGACAATTATTGAAAGAAATAGTAAAACAAAGAAATTGTCGGACAATAGCAAAGCTGAGGAAAAGTATTAAAAAATTGATTGAAATATATAATCATTTATTGACTTGAATTTGATTTGATGTTAGGATTCAAATAATATTTTTCACAAATGATGGCAAAAGAGTTACCGGTTTTGGCAAACAAAACGATAGTCTTTTAGATGTAATCATCAATAATGACATTGATTTGGATGGCTTTGGTATGTCTTAAATGGTTTTTTATTTATTATGATATGTTTTATAATAATTATAGTTTTTGTATGAATAGGCGCGTGTGAGGGCACACTCGCCTGTTCAACGTGTCATCTGATCTTCAATAAGGATGACTTCTCAAGAATTGCCAATAAGGCGACCGATGAAGAGCTCGATATGTTAGACTTGGCTTATGATTTGACCGATACGTATGACTTATACTTTTATTTTAATAATATAAATATAATTATTTTTAATTTGGTTGTCATTTATATTATATATTATTTATTGAAATATATAGATCCCGATTGGGATGTCAGGTCCAGTTAAAGGAGTGGATGAATGGTATTGAAGTGAAAGTGCCGGCCAGTGTTAATGATGTCCGATCATCTTAGCAATAATAATATTATTATTATTATTATCATTTTTACAATTATTAGTTTTTGCTAATAGAGATAGGTTTAATTAATTATAATTTATAATTAAATATCAATTTGTTGTTTTATATTGTTTTAATTATTAACATATATATATACATGAGATTGTTTAATAAAAACTTATGAGTATATACTTATAAAATGAAAATACACGTCAATTAAAACTGCCGTAAATTAAAATTCAGAATAAAAATGAGTAAAAACAAAATTTGAGACAAAATTATTTTATTAAAAAGTTATTTATTTTGAAGTACCGTAAAGTTAATTGCTTTTGATCTATTATTAGTATTACACATATATAACAATAACAAAATTTACAATTATTTTTAATATATAGTGATGTAATTTTTATAATTATACAAATATAACAGTTGTTAATATTAATGTAAATAAATACATTAGTTTTGTTTTTAAAATTCAATATAATTTTCTTAAATTAGAATATTTTTAATACAATATTAAATATAGGAATATTTGTATATAAGCTTTAAAATTGTAAATAACATAAAAATAATATATTTGCCATAAAAGTCTTATATAAATATGGAATGAATAACAACTAATAATACATTATTATAATACAGATAATGCCAATTAATAGTTTAAATTTGAGTTATATAGTGTACAGTTAACTTTATGCTAAGCAAGGTAACTTAGTATACAGTTACCTAATATTAGGTAAGTTATATAAAGTACCTTGGTAAAGCATTACATAATATAACTCAAATTTAAACTTTTAAGTGGCATAAACTGTATAATATAAGTTACAGAATATTCAGATTATAAATATTTTTACATTTTTCACATATAATTCACATGACATATAATAAATAATAAAATTTATTTATTTGCGGGTTTTAAACGATTTGATCATTAACTTAATAACTTTGTCTCTACTTTGCTATATTTGCTATAATAAGTTATGTGCTGTAATGGACACATACAGACACTATTGCCATAATTGAGTCCAAACAAGCATTTATTTTTGTTTAATAAATTATTATCAATTATTATACAGTAGTTTACAGCTATAATCAAATGTTATATTATGTTGTAATAAGTATCATATATCAACATATTTCCTAAAATGAACTGTTAATACAATAGCCTATATTATACCGTATATTTCAAAATTAACATTAATTATACTTAATTCCTAAATTAATCAAATATAAGGTAATCCTAATATTAAAGCAGAAACTGTTTGTTTTTTATAATAGATATTATTTAAGGTCCATCTCTGCGAGTTCTCTCTCCAGTTCCTCTTCATCAATATTGACAGCATCTCCGGCCACTACTTCGAACTCTTGAAGATCACGGGAGAGCTCTTCTTCCAAATCATCGGTTACTTTATTTTTATTTTGTTTGATATCTTTGTGGATGTCGTCAGCAGAAACTTGTGTGCCTTGATATGCGTCAGATATAAACTCGGGTTCAGCACCAGTGGGACTTTGGTCATCTCCCGGTTCATCGGGTCCCTCAGCAGATGAGGAACGTGAGGAAGACCAAGATTTCCTACCTTTCTTGTCGAAAGAAGACAATTGTGTTGACTGTTTGATGAGCGAAACCCTATAAAAATAGTTCCTCCAAAACACATCTTCTTTGACAAGTTTGGGCACAATCTCGAAGCGCATCTTATTAAGATTGGGATCTTCCTTAAGAAGGGCCAGTGCTATGGGATAGGATGAGTCCAAATCAAAGTTAAACTGTACGCCAGTTGGAGGGCTGCGGACAAAGTTGCGTTTGTCTTGTGAAAGGGAGAGTATCTCTTGTTTGACAGCGTCCGGGTCGTGACATCCGACCCACGGAGTAACGCCCACTTCCATGTGTCCTCCGTGGTCTTTAATGAATTGTTGTTGTTCTTTAGTGAAGTCCTGCATAATGCCCGCGTGTTCTACCGTTTGTTTAATTTGTTTGGCCGTTGCGGTCATAGTTTGTCGGGCTTTAGAAGCGGCACTAAATATGAGATTTCCGAAGTATTTGGTCGATTCCATCACTTTCTGTGACACTTCAGTAGTCATCGGTTGTTTGTCTTCCACTTTATTTGTTGCATCCGTATTGTCCTCTTCCGTAGCATCAATCATCTGGTTTTGGTAGTCGTCGTCGTCGGGACCCGAAGTGTCTCCCGAACTCGACCGCCGAACCAATTTTCGATCAGATTTTATATCATTCTCTAACACCTGATCTGTAGACATGATCTGATGATATCAAGACTATGGTTCAGATGATTATTATATATAAAACAACTATCGATAAGAGGGCTATCAGTTGACAGAAATTCACAAACAATGGCTAATATTGTATGAAAATAATATATTGTTGTTGTAGTTGTTGTCTAAGTTTATTAAAACAATAATCAGATGATATGTCAATCGTTGACTAATCTAATCAACTAATGATCATAAATGTCAATAAATGGTCGACAAAGTCAATGGTCTTCAGAGATCAAACAAAAGCCAAGTTCTGTATTATGTATTCAAATGTAATGTTTGTAAACAATAAGTGTTTAATAYATTAGATTTCAATACTTCGCATAACAAGAGTTAACAGTTATAACAGTATTAACAGTCAGACTCAGACTCGTTGTGCAACTTATTTGTGAACTACAAGTGCCAGCAATACATACAATCACTACACAAATGACAGTTTATTACATAACATATACAATACTATACACTAATAACTACATTCATACCAATGGATTGCAGAGTAAAATATCTTAAATACGGAATATTTTTTGTTATATTTCCCAAACATATAATACAGTATAATATCCATTATATAGAAGATAGCAGTTTATTGTGTCATATAATTTCCAGATAATATGTTTGTTAAGCTCAGGTATTTATGTAACTAAGTGTATATAACATTAGACAATAAATATATAGAATCGTATATATAATACAGTATGTGTTGTGCGCACAGTAATCAAAACACAACTAATCCAACAATTTGACAAAAAAGACGAATAAAAGGCTGAGATTCTTGAGTGGAGTATTGGTTGAGTGGTTGCGAGTCATTCACAATATCAACCAATTATTCAAAACAATAATCACTAATCATTTTTTCATCAATAAATGTTTAATATATAATATAAATATATATATTATTTAAAAATTCAGCGAAACTGATATTTTTACAGAAATATAATTCTAGTGAAAGCTTTATATTGACATTAAACTACTGTTAAGCAGATTTTGTATGACATATAAATTAGTTGTTAAACAAAAAAATTAAATAAAATTTATTCATATATTATCTTTACATTTGATTTATCAACAGTATCCATAGTCTACCTTAAAAATACCGGTAATAATTTTATTGTTAATTAAGTGAACAAATAAGTTTTTTTTAATTTTTTTATAATAATTTATTATAACTTAATTTCGCTTATTATATTTATATAATATACAAAATGTTATTAAAATATAACATAATTTTCAAGTATACAACCATTAATCTTAGTCTCAATATACTGTACTGYATTGTTAGTTCAAAATTGCTGTTATGTAACCATAAGTATTGGTGGGAAATAAAGAAAAAACACATTTGTGTCAATAAAAACAAAACAACAGTAATGATAAAAATCATTAGAAAGCAAATGAGAATAAGAAAAAAAGTTATACACAATATATATATATATATATCAATGAATAGAAATGATTAATCGCTTTCTTTGTTGGTCTCTATTTGTTGTATTTGTAATAAAAGACTCTCCTTTTTGCGGATCAAAGTATCGTAGTTTTCTTGGAGTGTCTTTTCCCTCAAGTTTTGTCGCTTTACGTCATCGCTTAAAGACTATAAATATAGGAAAATTGGATTAAACCATAATATCAAGCCATTAAATATTTGTTTAGTATTTAAATTCATGAAAACTATTTATAAATACCTCAATCCTCTTATGAATGGCTAATTCTTCGTGATCTTTGAGTATTGAAAACGTCTGCAATTCAAGAGATGTTTGTTCGACCTGTTCCACCAAATCATTAGTCTGTTTAATCAATTGTTGAGCTCGACTTTGATATCCTCCTAAATAAACTCTTAATTTCTTTTCTATTTTGGCGGCCTTTTTGGCTTCTTTGGTCATATGAGATCTGTTTTGATCCAACCTATCAATTATAATAATTTATATTACAGTATATTTTAATGAATATTGTAATTACATTTAGTAAATGAAATCAAACCTCTTTTCCAAGGATTCAATTCTATCCTTTTTGTTGGCTAAGTTGGCTCTCGTGTATCGATTTTGTGAAGGTATGTATAAAACTTGTGACAAACATTCATCCCATACCTGACAATAGCCATCAAAGGTTAGTTCTGTGTGAGCCATACCCTGTCTAACGACTTCCATCTCTTCAGTTAGTGTTTGTTTAGCAGCGGCTAACTCTTCATCATTATATTTAATGTAAGGATGTTTATCAAGAAAAGCTAAATTGGATGCATTTGGATTCGAGGCATTCCTCGACTTCATACTCTTTGATATTAATTGATTATCCGTTATATTATTGATGGAATCGTAATGCAACATAACTAACATCTCTTTTTTGATAAGTTCTTCTGCTTTTTGTAAATCAGTCACTTGTGGATCGGTATGAGCTCCGGGTCTTAAAATAGAATTGTTTATATCTGAAGGTCGGGGTAGATCTCTTTGAACGGCCTGAGACTGTCGTTTACGCTCGGCTTCAATGGCAGCCAAACGATTTGCTTCACGTCGGGCATCAATATCTGCCTGATCTTCAATTGTAGAACTCGTGTCAACACTAATATCGTTCATATCTTCTTCATTAACTACAATCTCATATTCATTCTTAGGCGCCGGTAATTCAGATAATGCTTTTCTTAACATATCTCGTGTTTCTTTTTGTTGTTGTTTTGCAGTTCTTTGATCTTCAAAAATTAATGCTTCTTCTGAATTAATGGCTAATTTATCTCTTAACGGAGTGGCCAATTGCTGACTGCCTCCTATAGTTGAGAGTGAACCGGGTGTTCGAGGAGTGACTGCACCTGTTGTTGGATTTAATTCACTTCCAGCGGGTGTACGAAATGGAGTAGAAATCATAGTGTTTGGAGTAACAGAAAGCGGTGCCTTTCCAACACCAGGGGTAATGACACCACTGATATTTGAATCAGTTTCATGCAATGGAGTGTTAAGACCTCCTTTAAGAGGAGTGTCAACATTAGTCAATGCCATCAAATTTTGGGCTTCCATTAAAATAGTGTCCCGACTTAGAGCTGCGGTTTTTGGTGTGCGAAGAGCAGCAGTCGATTGAGTTATAGAATAGTCGGCTAAAAGTCCTTCCGAAGCGCGATTTCCCGACTCTTCAGCTGTTTCTTTAGCACTTTCACTGGCTTTTCCTAATTTAACCACTTGTTCCAACTCTGCGTCCGATATTTGTGGTTCGGGTAACACTAATTTGCTTCTCTTTTTGGAAGGTTCTTCAGCATTCAACAAACTGGTTGGTAAATCATTTTCCTTTCGCTGTTTTAACTTCTGTTTGTCTTTCTTTCTCTCTCTTTCYTCAATTTCTGAACGTCTTTCTCCGTCCAACTGTTGTTGTCTTAGTTTACGAAAGTCTTGTTCTTGTGGTTCGTAGACTTCTTCTGACGTGTCGTAGAAACCCGAAGGAACGGGTTTTTCAAATGGTATTTCTGTATTATAATTAATACCGCGTTTTCTTTGTTTATAACTTCTTAACCCAATGTTAATGCCAGCCATTCGAAGCTCACGTCTCTTCTGAAGACTAGCCAGACGTCTGGCCTCTTCCAGTTGCTTCTCACGTGCCTTACGTTTGGCTTTCTTTCCCTGAGTGTTGGCCAAYCGAGCTCTGGCCTCACTTAACATTTCCAACTCGTCTTCATCCATGTCTTTAGGATCGGGACGGGCWGGCTTTGTCTCGGGATTGGGATCAATCTCTCCCGGTTTAAGTTTTCGCGGATCATCACCCAATTGATCCTTGTCTTCGCCTTTGTTCTGTGCCTGATCCAGAAGCTGCTCGTAATGTTCCAGACATTGGGATGCCGTGCGGCCAACGATAGACGCAATGGTACGCCATTGAGTTGGCATCAATCGGACCAAATTGATGAGTTTCTCTTCCTCTTCACGGGACCACTCAGTCTTCTTAATGCTCGGGTCTAACCACTCATACCATCTGGCCTTACATTGTTTGGCCGATTTTCGGTGCAATACCGATGCGATCCGTGACCACTGGTTTTTGCCATATTTCATGACCGCTGCCTTCAGGATCTCATCCTCGGTATTGCGCCAAACGCCGCCTTTTATCATAATTCGTGGCATTTTTAGTCTATTGTATTACACGCGCGGCGGACGACACGTATTGACAGATATAATGAATAAACAATTTATTTGTTTTGAAAACACTTTTGATTACAATTTATCGATGATTTCAATAATTAGCGATTTATTTGTGTTTTATGTTTATTATTGATTCACACATTTCTATTGGCATTCAATACGCTTTTATTACGTGAATATAAACCAATAATTACGACAAACAATACAAAGTTTTAGATAAATTAGCGCCAAATTTGAATAATATTCTTAAAATATCCGAATATATAATATATTGTATAATAGAATATATAAAATAAAAAATTATTTAAAATATTTATAATCTCAATATTATTTAAATATATTATTTATAGTTTATTTAATATATTTAATAAATTTTAATTTTAATTTGTTATGATATAATAATTGAATTAATCCAAACTTATAAATATAAAAAATTATTAAGTAATATTGTATTATAATATGTGATATGTTATTCAATTCAAATTGATTTAACAAATAAATTAATAACAAACAAAAATTTAAGGCTAAAACAGTTGATATTAACACTTGTGCTAATATAATATATATAAATTTTAATGTAATGTATATTATTATGTTATAAATTTATAACATTTTAAGTTATATACATTATTAAACTAAATAAACTATAAGCGAATTAATATTTTTTAAAATAAATAATTAATAAAAAGTTATTTTTATAATTTCCTGTAATTTACTAAATCTAATGTAATGCGATTGTTTGCTAAATTGTTTAGTAAACACAATTTAAGTTTATTATTAAAAGTTTATATAATACTTGTATTGATATTAATGTTTTATATAAACACTGAAATCAAGTTTAGTATAATTACTAAAACTGACGGTGACTTCAATACAAGTCATTTACCAAAGATATCGACAACCGTTGCAAACAAATCTCGATTATTATGTTTAGTAACGACACAACCGGCAAATCATGCGACCAAAGCACTGGCAGTCAAAGAGACGTGGGGTAAGGCATGCGATATATTATACTTTGTGAGCTCAGAGATGGTACCAGAGTTGCCGGCAATACGGGTGCAATGCGAGAAATATGACCATGATCACTTGTTATGCAAAAATATTAAGGCAATACTATATGGATTAAACAAATATCGAAACCAATTTGATTGGTTCTTCAAAGCAGATGATGACACCTTTGTTATTGTCGATAATCTTAGACAACTACTCGATAAGCATAACCCGGACACTGCTATCTGGTTTGGCTGTCCTTTTGCATTGGGAGGTAATCGCAATAAAACATATCCGAGTGGAGGTTAGATTTATTTATATTAAAATTTTATAAAAATTTGAAAATTTTCAACTTTTATTTAGGAGCCGGTTATGTAAGCTATTAAATACTTTACTTAAAATTATACTGCAATTATAATTACTCGCAATATATACTAATTATATTAATTAACATTATAAAATTTGAATTGATTTATATATAATATACAAAAATAATTATTAAATTTTATGAGATATATAAAGCGAGAAACACCATTAATAAATATATTTAAAATTATAATTTTATTAAAACTATTGCCACTTGTAAAGGCTATGAGTAGACAATCAATGTATTTAATGGAAAACGCTTTAAAAAATCACACCAAATGTCGGTTTTTAAATTTGAAAAATAGGGAAACGGGTGCCGACGATGCAGAGATAGGAATGTATGATAATGTCATTGAATTAAAATTGACAAATTGTTATTAATTTTATATGATTATAATATAGTTGTCTAAATGAGCTAGGTGCTCAAATTGGTGATGAAACAGATGATAGACATTTAAAACGGTTCTTCCCATTCCCTCCAAACACTTTCATTGATAAAACAACCGGATTTTATGAGTGGTTTAATGTTTATAATGTAAATCCCGTTCAAAAGGTAAATATCAATATACAGTATTGTATATAATTAAAAAAATAATAATTATAAGTTTAATAAAATTGTAGGGATTAAATTGTTGCAGTAATACAACAATATCATTTCATTATGTGCCATCAAATGATATGTATATCTATGATTTTTTATTAAATCATTTATTTGTATATACACTATGATTTAGTAATTTATAAAATTTTCAGACAAAACTAATATTATATTATATTTTTTTATTATTATTATTATTATATATGAAATTTGTTAGCCAGATACTTGTAATTACTATTATTGTAACATATTGTTTTTATAACATGATTTTTTTTAATATAAAATAAAAAACATTTGTTAATAATTGAATGATAAAAATATTATTTAAAAAAAATATTTTTTACAACTTATCTCAAAACTAAATATATTAAATTTTAATTATGGTTCGCATAAATTTACAAGAGCTCCTATCAAAATATCAATTATTAATATTATTAATAACGAGTATAATTTTGACACTTATTTCTATATATTTATGTAATTACAATAAACTTATAATTATAAGTGAATTAAATTTATTAAATTCATTGAAAAATGTTTTGAATGACAAAACTAGTCAAAGAATATTCTGTTTAGTTGTTACACACGAAGACAATCATAAGACCAATGCAAATGCAATTAAGGAAACGTGGGGACAGAGATGTCATATTTTGATTTTCTTAAGCAATCGACAGGAGCCAAATCTACCAGCGCTTAAAATTTGGTCAAATAGTACTAAATATAGTCAATTGTGGTGTCAAAATCAAATTATTAAAAATTTAATCAATAAATATGATGGCTATTATGATTGGCTTCTTAAAGTACAGGACAACAGATATATTATAATTGATAATTTAAAACAATTTTTATCACAATATAATMCAAATAAATCCATTTGGTTTAGTAATCCTCAAGTACTCACATTTAATTTAAATAATACTTATTCTAACGCAAGTATGTAATGATTTTATATTATTAGAAACTACAAGTTTATTGAATATTAAAAATAATTAAAATTTTTACAAAATTGGTAATATATTTTAGTAACAGAATATGTAAGTATCTCTTATAACATTTAATCCTAAAATATTAATTAAATAATTTTAAAACTAAAGATTGTCAGTCACCAAGGGATCAAACAAATTGTCAAAAAGTGTGATAAATTGAATAAATGTTTAAATCAAATTCAGATAACTAATAATCAAATCCAATTGAAAAGGTATTCATAAGATTTACTATATTTTTATAAATATTTGTAAATTATTTAAATGATAATCAAATTTAGTTGTCTCAACAATTTAAACATTATGTTTGGCGATCAAAGAGATGTGTTGGGAAGGCATCGATTCATACCATTTAGCTTACAATACCTGTCAAACCATAACTCCAATATCAACAATACCGGTACTAATGAATATAAATCGGTATTTATATTATTTTAATCATTATTTTATATTTAAATGATTTCAATTTAACAAATCATAATAACAATGGATTAATTGATTTTTCAGTTTCAAGAGTCTTGTAGTAACACAAGTATATCATTCAAATGTCAGGATTTCAATGATCTGTATGTCTTCGAGCTCTTCGTTTATCATCTAAATAATCATAAATATAATTACAAAACCACAACAATTACAGCACAAGTTTAATACAAAATAAATGACATTTATTTTAATATATGAAAAATATAATAAAATTATGACAAATATTCACAGCTCTGAGTCATCTGCAGATGTCTTAAGTCTTTTTCGATGAGGTTTTGGTGCGCTTTCATTGGTTTGTTTGTAAAACCTCTGCAATAAATCAATAGACTTCTTGGCGGACAACAGTTGATAACACATGAGTTTGGGATCAGATATTAACTCATTTGTGCTAACATTATATACCGACTCATTACCGCCGAAGCGGTCATTTCGTGCGCCAAACAGCACTTGTTTTGGTCGCAAATACCGAAGCGCTCGGACACACATTAGACACGGCTCTAATGTCAACAAAACAGTAGTTTCGGCCATTATTTCGTGCAATTTGTTCATTTGAGACCCGAATTTGGCCACAATTTTGTCAATACACTCCATCTCCGCGTGTCGGGTGGCATTGCGGGTGACATTTGTCCGATTGTGACCCGTGACCAACACATGTCCATTTGGATGATCACTGGAAAATTGAACAAAAATACAGCCGACGGGTACTTCACCGCTGGCCAGACTTGTTTCGGCTGTTTTGTAACACAAGTCAATAAACTCATCACTGATTGAGTGGCCATTCATCTCAATGACCATCTCTTCGGTGATCAACAAATGTATTCAAACTTAACATAAAATTTACGCAAAATTTTAAAATGTTTTAAATTTTATTGATTTCGTTTGAATCACATGTTGTGGTCATTCATATAATACAAAATAAATTTATTATTATTTAATATATTAATTAAAATTAAGTTTAATTAATAGTTTTATTAAATTGAATAAAATATTAAAATAATTAATAAATTTATTAATAAATAAATAAATAGTAATTAAATTATAATCAAATTAATAGATAAAACGTGACGTACTTTATGTCACTAATTGTTTCATCAGTTGTCGTGCATTACATCAGAAATGGCAACAAAACAAGTCCTCAAAGTTGGCCAGTATTTGACCCGAAGTCGTCTCCGCGATAATAGCGGACAACTCGTTAATCGTTGCCAACGTCTTCATAACGTAATGGTTGCCGAGAGACCGGCCATTAATATTCCCGAAACAAAAATATCTGTTCTTCGCAATGGTATCCGAGTGGCCACTGAGGACTCGGGAATTGCCACGTGTACTGTTGGTCTGTGGATTGATGCGGGCAGTCGTTACGAGAACCGACGGAACAACGGTGTCGCACACTTTCTCGAACATATGGCCTTCAAGGGGACGACCCGTCGGACACAAACACAGTTAGAGTTGGAGATCGAGAATATGGGCGCACATCTGAATGCATACACCAGTCGGGAACAGACCGTATATTACGCCAAATGTCTGGCGAAGGACATCCCGAGAGCATTGGACATATTGGCTGACATATTGCAGAACTCAACATTTGGCGCCCAAGAGATAGAAAAGGAGAGGTTTGTGATTCTTCGTGAAATGCAAGAAGTGGAGACCAATCTACAAGAAGTGGTCTTCGATCACATGCATTCTGTAGCCTTTTATGAGTCACCCCTCGGAATGACTATATTGGGACCAAAAGAAAATATTAAAAGCATTAAACGCGAGGATCTCATTGATTATATTAAGACTCATTATAGAGGTCCACGACTTGTGGTGGCCGGTGCTGGAGGTGTCAATCATGAAGAGTTTGTTGGACTTTGTGACAAATATTTGGGAAATGCTAACCAAGAGGTGGACGCGGCTTCAGTACTAAAGCCTTGTCAGTTCATTGGCGGCGACGTTCGTCTTAAAGATGACTCAATGCCGTTGACACATGTGGCCATTGCGTTGGAATCAGTTGGTTGGGCTAATCCAGACAACATTGCACTAATGGTTGCCAATACTTTGATTGGTTCATGGGATCGATCGCTAGGCGCCGGTTCTAATTGTTCTTCATATATGGCATTATCATCCTTTGAAAATAACTTATGTCATACTTTTCAAGCTTTCAACACTTCATATAAAGATACCGGTCTTTGGGGTATATATTTCATCGCCGAAAAGCAAACATTGCCCGACTTTGTGCGGCATTTAAGAGAACAGTGGAAATTATTATGCAATGGAGTTACTGAAGAGGAAGTATCGAGAGCTAGAGACTTGTTGAAGACTAATTTGATGCTACAGTTAGACGGATCAACACCTATTTGCGAGGACATCGGTCGACAAATGCTTTGTTATGGTAGACGTATACCATTGCCTGAAATGGAGGCCCGAATCGATGCCGTTAATGTCGATATTATTAATAGAGTTTGTAGTAAATATATAATCGGTAAGAATCCAGTGGTCGCAGTGGTTGGACAGACAGATGGTTTGCCAAACTATGACACTATTAAAGCTCAAGTGACCGGTTTATAACATCTGTTGTCATTGTTTTTTGTTAGCAAATAGTTTAATGTAAATAATGAATTTAAATATACTTTTGACAATCTTTTATTGATTATCGCTAATAGTTTTCAAATTGTTTGCTATTAATAAATTCAATAATTTATAAACATAAATTTAAAATAAAATTTATTGCTGACTTTAAATACAATTTTTTAAATAGATTTAATAGACATTTTAATTATAAATCTACTTTTTTAACAATAATATTGTTTTTGACTAACAAAAAATACAATATAACCCTATGATGACAATTGACCACTACTTGTGTGTATGTCATGAGTGGGGATCACTTGACTTTCTTTGTTGATTTGGCCGAATTCATCTGTTTGTCCACTTCGTTGAACAGTTTGGACGGCTTTTTCTGTACATAATGATTGAATGCCTCATAACCAACTACACCAGCAATTGTGCCCAAAACAAAACAAACTGAACCTTTGCCCATAACTTTCCTCAACTATCAATCAATTTAACCGATAATATTAAAGTATTTTGTTTGGTTTGTTTAGTGCTGGTATTTAAAACTACAATAACTGTAATAATTATAGTATTTATTAAACTATTCATTTGGTGTTAATTCAAATTGAATAACATTACGTGCAAACAATTACCGATATATTAAATAAAAAATTTTGAATCAAAAATGTTTATTAATTTCTTAATTATTGAAATATTAAGACTAAATGTCAAACAATTAATTATAAGACAAYTGTTTAACGCTTTCGTCTCAATTGTAACATTTGCCTTCGGCGCCAATTTGCCCGTCGGGAACCACCAATTACTTTACTGTAGCCGTGGCCACGTCCTCCCAATCCGCGGTGTTTCTTACCAGCGCTGGTTAATCCTCTAAGTTCACGATGTTTCTGAGTTGGGGCACAAATCCAGTTGACTTTAGGATCACGTCTGATGGCTTTGTGGTGCGGATCGATACAAATCACTTCAAAATACTTGAAGCACGAGTCCTGTGTCACCCAATATGAACCCAAAACACGCAACGCTTTGGCCACACGTCTACCGACTCTCTCTTCGGCAATCGCTTGATGATTACGACGTGGTTTCAATTCATTCACGCCGTGATTCTTGGGTTTACCATAAGTGGCACCTAATTGTCAAAACTCATTATTAGTACCGCAAACTCAATCAAATGTGAATTTATCATCACCTTTGGGCACCTGCTTCTTGCGTCCACCGCGTCGTATACGCACTCTATAGATAACGAAACCTTGTTTGGCCCGATAACCAAGTCTGCGGGCCTTTTCGGTTCTGGTCGGTCGCGGACACCGATGAATGACATTCAGTTGCCTGTATTGCCAACAACGGAGCCGAAGCAGGAATCGCATCACATCTGACTGTTTGTGTCGCCAGATCTCTTGTATATACTTATATGCGCCCATCTCTGAGGTCAGTGATCGGCGGATCGGCACTCAATCCCAGACAATGTAATGACCAAAACAATTGATCCAATGATTGTGTCCAATGAAAGACACGTTAGACTCGTATTGAAGTGTTTTACTAAAGGAAAGGGAAGTTCACTGATGTTTGTCGTTGTCATAGAAACACACTTCACATGTTTGGCTCCAGTCGTTCATAAAGAACGTACACTTTTGTCGATAGTTTTGATTATTATTTAATTATTAATTAATGATAAATAAAATTATATGAATTATACAAAAATATTATGATTTTTTTTTAATTTTTAAAATAATGTTAATTTCTACTATTAATTATACAATTTTAACAAATTAAAAAATTATACATAAATTGGAAAATTGATTTTATTAAATTAATTAGATTATTTAAATAGTAGTATATAATTTATCATTTTGTAAATTTATATTTGTATTATAAGTTTTACTTTTTTATAATATGTGTTGTATATATAAAATATATTTTAAAATTTTTATAATAATAAATTATATTTATAGTACAAAAAATATTTGACTTAATCTATAAAATCAATTTCAATAGTATTTATAATCTCGAATTAGTAATACTTTTTTGCTACAAAAGTATAGTTCATTTAATGTCTCAACCAATTAATAATAATTATTAATTTATGTTAATTAAAGTCATTTATAAAATTTTTATCATTATTAATAGTGTATAATATTATTTAAAATTAAATTAATTTATTATAAAATATTCAAAATATTTATCTAAGCAATTTATTAAATAGATAATAAAAATTTATATAAGGAAAGTTATAAGTTAACATTTTTATAATTTAATAAAAAATAACTATTAGTTTAAATAATAAAATAGTTAAATAATTTACCATTAATTTAATCATATTGAATAATATGTGATTTGTCAATATATATTAATATATATATATTACTTAAATATATTCAATAATTTAATTTAAATATTTTTTGTATAATTTTTTATTATAAAAAATCATTTTATTATAATTATAACAAAATAAATGTTTTTTCTATTTTATCTTTTAGTAAATTTTGGTATTTGATTTAAATTATAAATGAGAAAAAAATGCATTACTGTTTGATAATATAAATATAAATTATATATCATTCTACTATATAAATATCTATACTTTATATTTTATATAAATATACATAAATGTATTATAAATAGAGTACTGTATATTAAACATGAAATGTGATTATAATTTTGATTCTTAATTCAAGTGGAAATAACAACTAAACACATAAAACAAGAGACTAAAAATGGATAAAATAAAAATAAAATTTCTTTAAATATTAACCTCTAATGCATTGCATTGTAACATCCATTAAAGCATTTTATTTTAATGCCATTAAATATTTGTCTATTGAATTAAACATGTTTTTTGATCAATAATTTTAAAGAATATGTATTACATGAATATCTATTTTGCATTTTGATTATAAAAAGATATCCTTAAAAATGAATGAATGAATGAATGAGTAAATGAAAAGATAAAACCAATGAATAAGTGAAAGACTATAATATGAATATTACAGTAATTGTGTGAATAATTGTCTCATCTTTTTTACTCAACATTTAACTTAAATATTATTTGAATGAATAGTATATTGATTGGAAGCGGCGCCTAAAAGACTACAACCGATACTACAAATACAACACACAAACAACAAAAAAGTACAATATTTTAGATGATTTACGTAATGGTTGTGCACTAGACTTATAGTGGAAAAGGATGTTTGAGAAACACATTACATATCGGCTATAGTTTGCTGAAGAAAACATTAAACGACACTAACATAACATGTATTACTTTGACATCACTTTTAGACAAACCATTTAATGTCCGACACATACTATTTGATAGCTTGAATGCACTTGAGATACATAATAATTGTTATAATTATTATAAATTAGTTAAATTTAAAATTAAATTGATAACTTTCTATTAATAATCTTACTACTACTGTATATTTATATTTATATTAAGTATATTTATTATAACATAAATTATATTAATAATTTTTTTATAACTTTATTAATATTTAAAAATGATTTTGTTTTTATTTATTTAATTTTTTATAATTCATAATAATAAAATTGATTATTATATATAATAGTCTATAAAAAGTAATAATATATATATATATTATTATAATCTATCATTTCACTATAGACAATTAATTTTTCTACAACAATTTAACAATATATATATATATATATATATACAACAAATACAACATAATATGTAAACATTTGATTTAAAAGATTTTAATTAGTTTGAAGTCATTTTAATGGATACTTTAATTGAATAAATATAAGTCGATATATATTTGAACTGTATATATATAATATTAAATATATATAAAAGTACAGTATATATTGTATAATGTTTGTATAAATTTATAAAGTCTAACACCAAGTTGTATGACGTCAACGATATCTTGATTTTTATTTCATTCATTGTCTATCAACTAAAACTTTAGTTGTATTTATGTTTGAAATAAAAGTAAATTTGATTAAATGGGTCCAAATGTTTAGCATTTAATTTATAAATAGAGAGAAAGAATTCACTTTCTCATAAATATACAAAAAATTTGTATTAACTATATTTAACCCGAAAACCCATAGTTTTACTCCATTCACGCAAACAGTTACTAAACATTTTAGTTTTTCTTTGCAATTCATTTACTTATTTAGTCAAAATGTGATGAGATTTACTAAAAATGAATTCTCAAAAGAAAATTATTGATTCCTATTTTTATAGACAATCAATTTATTGACCAAAAATAAAATCAAACATAGCTTTGACTATTGAGTTGAAGAGCACCGGGTGGTCGAGTGATTGAGAATCCTAATGATGAATCTCACCTCTCAAATAAAACATTAAATTAAACCAATTTATTACTTAGAAGGATAGGTATCAAATGTTATAAATTTTTTTAGTTTTGTTAATATTTTTGTTAATTTAAAAATTAAAAGTTGACAGTTTTTTATAAAATAATTTTATATTTATGAATTTATTTTATATAATCTAAATGTAGTTTAAATAAAATGTTATAAATAAATTATAAATAATTTTAAGATAATTATTATGTATATTTACAAAAATCTCTATTTCAAAAAATAAATATCAATAATTAAATACAGATGTTTTAGTATAGATATTTAAATATATAAAATTAAGACAGTTTTGGAAAATAAATTTTTTAGATAACCTAATAAAACATTCAGTGTATTAGACACTCTTAGTGTAATTTTCGTAGGCTTTTTGATAAATTTATATTAAGAAAGCTTTCAATGAATTTATATTCATATATTATAAATATAAAGTTTACAAAAATTCTGTTCACTAAATCCTATTGAGAGTTTCGACATAAACACAACAACAGAAGCAAAAAACATACAAAAAACTTAGGGATTGGAGTGAAAATAGACGACAATTTTCAAGTATTAGTCCTCATAAATATATCATCGACTTAGCCATCAATGCGCTGACAACTAGAGAGCACAGGGAAGGCATTAGTATTACTGTAATGAAAGACTAGACGACTCTCGATGTGATTGATATAACATCAAGTCATACGACTATTTGTATATTTTTTCTTCAAAAACTTAACTAAACATTCTTAATGGTGTCTATTGTATCTATAAATAACAACTAATTATAGTTATAATTTTTTATTAGTTATCTAACTTTGGATTATATATATATTTTATTTGACTTAATTTTGTAATTTTCTGTATATTAAAGACTTTTTATAAATTAAATAAAAGTGATATATTTGAACATAAAGAAAATCCATGACATGAATTGGGATAAGATATCAACATTAACTGTTAATATAACTTATGAAAAGATAGACATAAAATAATATTATCAAAAAAATTGTAATTTCTTGCAATTTGTTATATATTTATTTGTTTTATTTCATTACTTGTAGCTATATATATATATATTTGTATTTTGGTTATGTAAAGACTGTATTTGTTTGACCAAATGATGAATTACATTATTAATAGATAAATCATTGCGAATAATATAACCAAATATTATATAGAGTATGTATTTACATAATAATGATAACAATAGTGTAGTACAAGTAGGGTTCGATTAAATTCCCTCATTTTATATTCCAAAAGTTCCTTTTTTTCCTTTCCCTAGGAATTTCTAATGAATTTATTTCCTTGATCCATTACCTATTCAACCATAAACAACACATTCTATTATGATGTTTAAAAAACAAATATTAGCTTAAACTGTATTTTGAGTGGTATTGAAAAATACTATCACTAAGTTTATTAATTTTAAATTAATTTTTCAATATTTAAGTTTTTGCATTATTTTTTGTAATAATTAGAGTTCGGACAACGTTCCCAGAGAGGGAAGTTCCTTAAGAAAATATCAATATTTTCCGGAAAAAATTGGAAGGATTTTATTTGGAAACTTCCCTCTTTTATAAAGTTCCTCGAATTACAATATATTCTGTGTGTAATCTAAAATTAATGTACATTTGCAATACACAGCTATTGAGATAATATTAATTTAMTTAAATGTTAAATTGAATTAAATGAATTGAATTGATTGTAATTAGTTTATTACAAATATTAATAAACAATTTTATAATATAATTTTTACTATTAAACAGAATTAATAAAATATCTCATTCTTAGAAAATATAATAATAAATAAAAAAAATGATAATTAAAATGTAATAATACTAATATCAATAAATATATTTTAATTAGAAATATCATTTTATTAGAAATAGTAAGATTTAATAAACGATTACAAATTCATAACTGTATAATTATACTAACAATTGAAAATTCTTTATATTTATTGGTATATAAATTACTACCTTTTTATTTTGTTTACTATTTATATTTATATTATATATCTTATATAAGTATAAGTAAATTAGTTATAAAAAATATTTCATTTTAGAATAAACTAATTAATAAAATAATCAAAAAACAAATAAGATATTTGTATTTATTTACAGTAAGTGTTTTGTTTATTACAGTAAAATCAAATAATCAAATCTGCAATTTTAATAAAATAAATAAAGAATATATAACCAAATCTTATTTTGTTACAAATAATTAACTTATTATAAACAATTTTTAGGCGTTGTATATAAAATTAATTAATTAATTATATAAATTTATTTAAATTATAAAATTTAAAAATTTTGATATTAGAAGTGCTAACCATATAAGTACTAATCCAAAAAAATGTGTTTAACACTATTATCATTAATTAATTAAAATAATATAATTTGTCAGAAATATTAAATTTATTTTTAAAATAACTAAATTATTATCACTAGTTGTAATAAATATTATAGTTTGTTTAATTTAATAATACAAATTATAAAATGTTGGCATTAATTTTAGTAAATTAACAATAGATTTCCAAAAACTTATTTAAAAAATTTTCGAAAATGTCAAATAAATAACAATAAAATAGTTAAGTTAAAAAATAAATATTTAAATATAAATTATTTTCTAAAACATAAAATTAATATAAAGTGCTTATGTATTGAATTACATTCTACATTAAACACTTGTATTATTAATATTTAATAGCAATAACATTAATCTTATATTTGATTATCAATTATTATATAATTTGTTATTATATTTGTACTTTGAAATTGATTAGTTTAAAATATGTATCATATAATGCAGATAATATAAATTATTGAGTAATTACTAAAATTCTCAATTGTAATGTGAAAAACAATGATATTTATCAATTAATGACAGAAAAGTATAAAAAGAGAGACACAATGGGATGAAAAGCAAATAAATCTGTTTTAATATAAATACTGTATTAAACAAATAAATAAAACATTGACTATTAATACCATAATACTAATCATGAAGTTTTCATTGATATTTGTTATTATATTTATAGCTTTACGAGTTGAGGCCGACATGAATGCCGGTGCCAAACACCGATGCGAAGAGTATACGTCCATCTTTGAGAACGACACCATTGAACTACAGTACGATTACTGTGAGAACATTGACGACGGACGCGGATTCACGTCAGGTCGCGCCGGCTTTTGCACGGGAACGGGGGATGCCGTTGAAGTGGTCAGAAAATACACACATCAAAAATCAGACAATCCTTTAGCCAAATACTTACCAGAATTGGAAAGATTAGCTAAAGAAGGTAGTGATGATGTCAGCAAACTCGGAGGTTATTGCAAAGCATGGCAACAGTCAGCTAAAGACTCGGCTTTTCGTAAAGTTCAGGACGATATCAGCGATGAAACCTATTATAGGTATACATATTATTTTAATTAAAATATTTAATAAATAACTTATAATAATAATAATACGTAACTTTGTGTGTAAAATATGTAATTTTCCAGACCAGCCATAAAACACGCACAGACAGCTGGTGTCAAATCACAGTTAGGTATGTGTGCTTTCTATGACTGTATCATTCAACACGGAGACGGTGATGACCAGGACTCGATCAATGCCATCATCAAGAAGACACACGGAGGTCATGTCAGTGGCGATGAAAAGTCATGGCTCAAAGATTTCTTGAAAAATAGAAGAGCAGATCTCATGGACCCTCACGACAAAGACACCAGAGATGAATGGAGACAATCAGTAGATAGAGTGGACGCTATGGTTAAACTGTTGGACGCCGGAAACATGGACTTTAAGGGACCCATGCATATCAAGACACCTAACCACGATGCTACCATTCCTGCTTAAAGTCAATTAATAAACATTTACTACACATATGCATATATTTATACAAATTAAATGCATATATATTGTAATATCTCAAATAATTTACTTTAAAATAAAACTAAGTTTTCTTTAATGTATTTAATTTTTATTTATCTCTACACTATTTTTTCAATTCTAATGATATAAATGAAATGAAATATGTGATATTTTATGATTATATTGTTTTTAAAATTAAACTCGTTTTTTAAAAATTCATAAAACGTCCGCTAATATTATTTTATAAAACAATATTACAATTCATATAATGTTTTTATATAAAATAATATTACATTTTGTTATCACGACTTTCACATTTACTTAAAAATAAAATTAATTTTAATTCAATAGATATAACTGTCACTATCATTTTATTTTATTTTTTATTAAAAAAAGTTTTTAAATACATCTTTTCAATAGAAAAATATTTCATTTAATTGGTTAATATAATGAATTAGTATTTATAAATATTTTAAGCCAATGGATATATTATTATTAAAAATCAATATTATATTAAACATAATATTCAATAAAATGGTTTCAAACTAATACATTGAAATCTTAATCTTTTTAACTCTTAGTTTAAATAAAATATAATAAATCATAATTTAACATAATAAATTTGATTGATTATTAAAAAGCATAATGTTAAGCGATATTTAATATGTTAAAATTTTTTTGAATGTGCAATTTTATTGTTATACAATAATAAAAAATATGCAATTTTATAATATTATATAATTCTTTATATTTAAATAACTTAGAATACAATATGAATAACATTATACTATACTATATTCAGTAATATATTAAGTCTTAATTTATTTTTTAAAAAACATTTATGAACCTTTGATACTAATTGATATTAGTTGTGTTATAATTTCCAATAAATTGTGTATTAATATAGTAAATAATATATAATAGTTCATAATTAGCAGGTATACATTATCAGTTTAAAGATTATAAATAATACTATTGATAATATAATAGTAATACTACCCTTTTATTTATGTACTTTATACTGGATTTTCTATTTTTTATTGATATATAATATAATCAATAATATAATAAAGCATTTTCAGACGAACTCCACCTAAATTTATTTATTAATTAATTTAAAAATAATAATTAGTATTTTAAAAAAAATAAAAAATTCATAAAAATAAATAAAACATTTAAAATGTTATTAAAATTAAATGTATGTATAATAAACTCAACTTTTCTAATGTATTGTAACAAATGAAAAGCGTATGAAAAAGCATATCATTTTATTAAGCATTACTCTTAAGTGTCTATTATACTCATATCTCTCTCTAATTTTCCATAAACTGATAAATTGATAAAATTTTGTTATTTTGACGTCATTTTTTAATTTTGTTTAATAATAAAATCTATATTGTTTTAAAAATATTTCTACAGTTTATACTACATTTATATACCAAAATTCAAAAAATCCTAACACACAGACAGATAGACAGAAATATAGAATTCAGACATATGTACTCATTTAAGATTAACATAAATAATCAAAAATATATAATCATTAATTACTATTTTAGTAATATTTAGTATATTATTCAATATTATATTTCAGTATTATCACTTTAATAACTAACAATTGCTCAAAAAATTACATTATCAATGATAACTATTGTATGGGTATATTATGTGTAATAGAGGTGTACTGTATTAGATCTCTATAATTATTAAAAATTTAATTGATATAGGTAAAATAGATTTAATTTTGTTAAATAATTAAAATGATTTTTAATCTATGAGATTATATAATCTAATTATTATACTATTATAAACTTATAATGAATTTTTTCTATATTACTTGTTACTGATTGCAAAATTTTAAATAATGTAAATTTAATGTAAATAACTTTAAAAATTTAAACTATAAATATTTTATAATTATTTAAATAATATAAAATAAATGAGTAAATTAATTTAAATAATTGATAAAAATGATAAAAATGATTTAGGCTGGTATAATAGCATCGTGGTTAGGTGTATGCACTTTAATAGGTCCATCAAAGTCCATGTTATTATCATTAAGAATAGGAATCATAGCATCGACTCTATCTACTGACTCAGCCCATTGATCTCTGGTGTCGGGATCTTCTGCGTGAGTTAACACATATCGTCTATTTTTAAGGAACTCTTTAATCCATGWTTTCTCATTGCTGTCTACGTGTCCACCCATTGTTTTCTTGATTATAGGACCAATTGAATCACCTGAATCTCCATCTCCGTGTTGTATAATACAGTCATAGAGCGCACATTTACCTAAATTTGTTTTAAGACCGGCTCTATCAGCTCTTTCCATGGCTGGTCTAATTAATAAAGAAGTTTAAATTAAAAAATAATTAAAACATTTTAACAAATAATAGTATATATATAATAATAATAATAATACCTATAATAAAGTTCATCACTTATGTCGTCTTGTATTTTGCGAAATAGTTGATCATTAGCTGACTGTTGCCATGCTTTGCAATAACCTCCGAGTTTGCTGACATCATCACTACCTTCTTTAGCTAATCTTTCCAATTCTGGTAAGTATTTGGCTAAAGGATTGTCTGATTTTTGATGTGTGTATTTTCTGACCACTTCAACGGCATCCCCCGTTCCCGTGCAAAAGCCGGCGCGACCTGACGTGAATCCGCGTCCGTCGTCAATGTTCTCACAGTAATCGTACTGTAGTTCAATGGTGTCGTTCTCAAAGATGGACGTATACTCTTCGCATCGGTGTTTGGCACCGGCATTCATGTCGGCCTCAACTCGTAAAGCAATTAATACAATAACAAATATAAGTGAAAACTTCATTGTTTTAATTTATTGTATAATTCTCATATACTGTATGATCAGAATACGCTTTTATACAAATTCACAAAAAATAATTTTTATTGATTTAAGTCAATAAAAATTTATTATAATATTAAAGAAATTAATTATTGAAAAACTAATTAATTAATAAAAAAGTGTGTAAAATAACATAAGAACAAGTGTTAAGTTGTTATTTACAGTATAATACTGTATAAAATACATAAATCCAGGGTTTTTTAAAAAAAACAGATGTCTGGTTGTCTATTGTTATAAATTAATATTGTAAAGTTTTATCAAATTTTAATAAATCACATTGTTTATTACAAAATACTAAATTAATTTTTCATTTAATAAATTATTGATTATGTTTAATATTTTATATAATGTTTTAATATTAATACATTTTTAAATTCATTTACTTTAATTGTAAATAAATTGTTACTTTTTTGTGATTTATTAGTATAGATTATTTTACTTAATATAATAAAACTGTATATAAAAATAATAACAATAATAATATACGAGTAAATTATAGATAAGTTGATTGTGTAAAGATTTGATACAAATCACCATAAGTTGCATTTATTAACGAAATAGTAGATAAAAAAGTATATTTTATGTAGGATTTGATTCATAATATTTGTAAATTTTTATATGATTTACATCACAAGTTTTATTTATATATACATTTGTTTTATTGAAAATTTTATCGTTAAAAGTGCTTAAATTACATACAAATGAACTGCAATTGAAATTCTTATCAAAATTTCAAATATAATTTTTATTTCAAGTAAAGATTATCTACTCTATTGTAGATATATTGTTACAAATTTGGATTTAATTTGTAAAAAGTCACAACAATTAGTGGTATCCAATTGAATCTTTTAAATTAATTTCAAAAACAGTCAATAAATTAGTAAATTCATATACAGAAAGACATTACTTATAATAAATTATTGGGAAATAGTTGTGTGTTATTATTATTATAATTTATAAAAAGCATATGTTATATCATACTAACATACAATATAATAATAATACATTAATAATGGGTAAAAATTAAAATGTTCATGATCATTTAAGTACAATACATGCTATGAATTTCATTAAATTTATCCATCTTTGAGATAAATAGTTGTTCTATAGTTTAGATTTACTGATATTATTGTCAGTACATTCATATGAGTTATTTCAATAAAATTAATAAATTGACGGTATTTAAGGGTAATGTTCTTCAATATGGGTAAAGTCTGGTCCAAAACTCAACTGCAAATGTTTTTTCATTACAATTAATTTTAGTAAATTTTGTCTACCATTATCTCCTCAGTCAACCGTCCGTCACAATATAATTTTTAAAATATTATAATTTTATGAAAATAATACTTGAATGAGAAATCATTGAAATTTTAAAAAAGATAATCAACAATAAATTGATTTGTTCTATGAATTATTCAAATGTAAAGACAAGTTATAGTTTATATTAGATTAAAATATTGTGTAGAATAAGAGCAGATTGTATTACTGAACAATCTTACAATTGGTACTATAATTGTAAATTGATGTATGAATTGAATTATTTTTGAGAATAATTTTATTTTTCTTAATTCATAACAAATTGAGATCAAGAAATATTCTGTGCATTAAATTATTCCAATCAAACAAAATATTATAAGTAAATAAATGTATTGAAAATGTTGTTTAAAAATTTATATTACTTCACATCAATAGTCAATGTAATAATAATGCAACAAAGTTTTGTTAAATACTTTTCCTATTCATATCAGTTTTAATTTGAAAAAATAATAGTTATTTATTTGTTATTTGTTTACTCAAAGTTTAAATTGTCTTATATGTGTTTAAATAAATTTACAAAAGTTTTACAACTATTGTATATATGATAATAAAGTACATCAATGAATGATAGTAACAAAACAGTTGATTATAACGTTAGCTTCGATTCAATAGTAAAAGCATTCAATTGAAAATCAATTTTCTATTGAATACAAATCTAATTTCACTTTCCTTTTAATAGTCTTTCACTATTTATTTTTGGCTAAAATGAAAATTAGATTTTATTTTGTTTTTACTCTCACTATAAATATTGAGTTTAGTCTTAAGTATTTGGCTTTTGATAAATTGATTTTATTGTCCGATTAAACTTAATGAACATCTAAACAATAAACATACTCTTATTTTTTATTTTTTAAATGACATATTTTTTATTTTCTGTAATTTACTTTAATTTTATTTGCTTCAGCAATAATGATAATAAATAGAAAAAATTATGACAATTATGACAAATTCCAATTACATATAAAATTTAAATAAATAAATGAATATAGTTTTTATAAATTAATTAAAATTATTTAATTGATGACACGGATCGATAACAATATCATTAATTGTTATTTTTATTGTCAGTAAACAAACAAATAAACAGTTGACAAATAAAAAGAACTTTTTAGAAAATTTCTAAACAAAAATTTTGTTTGAAATCCTTATTTTAATTTTTGTTTTCTCGATATTTGTTATATTGTAATACCTTATAATTATGGATACTATGTTAACTAAATAATAATTAATTATAATAAACTTAATAATAATAATATTATACTCTAATTTATATTTAATGTTTATATTTATATTAGTCCATTTTATTACTTATTTTGRTTTTTAATTTTAATTTTTAGTCATTATAGTTAATCAAAAATAATTGAATTATAAGTATAATTTTACAAAAATTATAATTATTATAAAATAACATAATTATATTTATAGAAATATTTCTTTTGTATTTGTAGTGTATAGTAAAATTTTTATTGGAATTTGTCCTAAGAAATTTTCTAGAAATTTCCATTTCTAACTCATTTCTATTGCTAGTGTTTTAAATGTTTAACATTTCTAACAAACAGTGCAATCGATGAGATATTTATGGTCTACCGATTTAGTCCACAAGGTATGAGATTAACTATAACTTAACTTTATTTCAATTTGTCATTGAACAAACAATAAATAAAAATGTAATGAAAATAACTATATTAGAACTGTATATACGTTTATACAGTATGTATAATAATAGTTATGCCAATGGCTAATAAAACACTGTGTACTTTAAATAAATTCATTGCATTTTATACAATCTACTATTAACTTAAGTATACAGTATTGTATATTTTATATATAACTAACACTTTATATACTGTACTTAATCAAATTAACTTGATGATAAACCACTTTGAATGATGTTTATTGCATCTATAATAAATATTATAAAAATCATAAAATTAAACAAATATTTAGGTCACTTATCATTTTTCCATTTATATTAATAAATGAAATCATATTAAAACAACATAATTTTATTTCTAAAAACATTTAATCTATTTGCAAAATAGTTAAAAATTATTTTATGTCTAAAACCAGACAAAAATTTAAAATTATATTTAAAAATTACTATAATTTAATGATAAATAATAATAAATATCTCTTTAATTATATTATACTAAATATGAGTTAAGATACTATATGTTAAATTAAATACAGTTTGTTCTTATATACCATGTTGTTAAAAATGTTTATATGTTAAAATATGTTAAAAACTAAAATATAGTTTTCAATAAACAATGATGATTTTACGTGATATAATAATAAATATAATTATTATTTAGATATATTTAGAAAAGAGTATCAACAATATATTTAGCTAAATTATATTATTATTTTTATAGTTGTATTGTAGATATAGTAATTTACAGTATTGTAGTTATATTGTATTGTATATACAATATATTGAATATTATACAGTAGTATATAGTATTAAATATGGATTTATATTTAGGTATATCTGATATTTTATTTTATATGAAAAGTCATAACCAATAAATAAATGACTCTCGAGTTAACTTATAAGAGACAAGTAACGTATAGTGTATGTTATATACTGTGATTATGTTATAACCTAAATTATGTATTATATTATGTAATATATAATGTGAAACACAAATGAATTATTAATAAAATTGATTTGTTGTTAAGATTTAATAGACAACTAGTAAAAGCCGAGTGTATTCATGTATTTGGATAATATGCTTACCATTTAAATAATTGATTATTTCAAATCATTTAATTGATTTTTACATAAATTTTATGTCAAAGAGATTTATTAATATTTAGATAAAATTTAGGAAAGCATTGCCTCAACACTTCATACTAATTAATTAATTAATTAAAAATAAAAAAAGTAAAAGTTATAGGTTTGAAAGTTTTAGTTATATTGTTAGTTATTATGTAAAAATTGCACTAAAATTTTAAATTTAAGAAATTAATACTTAAATCATTTTAAAATTAAAAAAAATAATTATTATATATAATAACTAATATTTTTATATCAATAATAGCTTACATCATGAAATATTTATAATAAATTTTATTTTGATAGATATTTCGGTTGAAAAAGTAATGAATAATACAAATAATATTTATATGAAAAAGATTGTGTAATTGATTGATAATATTCAGTAATACATCAATACAAATATAATTTAGACCAAACTGTATATTGCTTTATATTGTATTTGTATAATTACTCACTATTATTGATATTACAAATGTATTAACTTATCATTTCTCCCACTCAATAGTTAGTCGATATAATTGTCAACAAAAATGTAATTTCTATTGTAATTCTAACTTATAAGCAAAGCATAACATTTGCCATTTATGAACTTAATTGAGTTATCAATAAAATTAATAATTATTATTGAATGCTTTATGTTAATAAATGCACATAATTGGACTATTATTAGCGTAGTTTATAATAGCATTGAAATTTTGTCAATTTGCTAGATAATATTTTATTTAAGTTTTATTTAATTATAAAAAATGCACGATAAATTTTTTACAATAAAAAATTTATTGACCTCTCACTTTTAACGTTTTCATGTTTATTTGATGTTTTTTTTATTATTATTGTTTTATTAAATAAATAAAATAACTTATCAGTTATCTATCATCACTATCTCAATATATTTTTTCTAATAAAATAT